CTCTCCTCTATCATTGGTTGCCCAATGACTCTTCCCCGACGTTATGATATATGCCCTTTTCGAATCAAATGGGTGCATCGAAACCTCTAACATTTTGCCTTCAGGAACGGCGGTGATCTTCTTCCACGTCTCTCCTGCATCCACTGATCTGTAAACAACCGCATCGTCTCTATCTTCATACAGTAACACATCGGAATCGTCGAAGTACTGCAGATTGTGTGGGATATTTTCTAACTTGGCATAACTAACTCCAGGCGCATCTTTCTTTGCCCACGCGCTAGTATAGAGAAGCGTTGACAATAGGAGGCACCGCCATCCTTTCTCTGAGCTCCGTAGCCTCATCTTCGCGGGTTGGTTGTGATACCGGAGCGCATGAAGCTTCGATAAGGATCACCAAGTGGCGACTCGATGATGGTAGTGATAGTTTAGATGTTGTTACTTTTGTCAGAATCGATAATGGAGAGGGTCTGAATAACTAAAGATTGTGAATGGATTGCGTGTCTTTTGGAAACAATGATGATGACAGTGCAGGTGAGCCTACCTATACAGCTCCAGCTACTCGTTTCAGGGCACTTTTGCGCCACACCTGTGCCTCACAACTCGGACCTATCAATGATAATAAAGCAAGCAAGAGCACTCAGATCCCACGCCAAACCCAGCACCTTCCGCGCTTGAATGTTGGATTGGTTATTGGTTGGGGGTTAAAATCTATTTCTGGTATGATGAATTTACTTCTGTGGAGATGGAGATGAAGATGGAGAAGGAGGGAGAACGGAGGATAGGGAACAGAGAACATTCATTGATTCTTGAATTCAGGTTTGTGCATTGATAATTCCTCTCAGCACTTATTATTATTCACAGCGTCAATATCAGGCAGCTTTCTTACATTCACTTAACTAATCTGGCGTCGACCATCACTCAGGAATACGAATGGAATGATGACGGTCATCAATACGGTAGGAAGGAATGTTCTTTGTCAAGCATGAAACTAACCAACCATCAATCACATCACAGCAACGGCTAACACTATTGATTCCTTCCTTGCCTCTTTGCCGCTATGACGGTATGATCGATGATGGTATTTAAATTGTTTACTTTCTCCCATAAGTCATAGCACAATTCGGTTTTCATCAGCGAATGGATCCTTGCTGCACCTATTCCGAACATTATGTCGACTTCAAACTTGACCGACGATTCAACCGGTTGGTGAAGTAAAGAAGGGCGGCGAACTGTATGGCACATACACAAACATTCACACCATTTCGAACAATACAATCTTACAATTCAGGACTTTGATTCTAACTTATTGTTTCAAAATCACTGGTATCCATTCAATCGCTATGCAAAACCAGCCTGCCATGCATGCGAGCCTCCAACAAAAGAGAGGTAAATACAAAGCAAACGCTTCTTTAAAGATACAAGCTCGCCTGCTAAATAATTCCATCTGCAAAGATTCCCTTTTCTTCTGTTCTAGGTACCCTATCACGAAGTCTTTCGCTGACTCTTCACTCTCTTCCAAAACCTTTTTACCACCCCAGTTTCCTTCTCGACCGGTGGCCCCCAGCCATCCGCTCCACCCATAGGTCCCCGCGGATACCTATGATTTTCTAGATCCTCCATTAGAAGCGGCTCCTTCAATTGCCATCCATATATTTCGCTCTCATCTCTCAGGTCCTGCCGTGTAAGCGTCATTCTTAACGTAGGTTCTCGATTTCCTGCCATGACTTGTGTATAAGGGTCTTGTTGTTTGCTAGGGAGTTTGTTGGGCCCGGATTGAAAATCTGCAAGAGGTTTGCCAGTATAATAAAATGGAGATCGTTGTAGTGGATATCCGCTTTCATATTCCAGGGGTGTTATGGGTGCGTCAGAGTCAGCCATCGATTTATCGTCTTCGAATAGTGAAGCAGTATCGTCATTGAAGAATGAATGTTCAAATGCTGGACTCGAAGCCTTCCTCCTCAACATATCTCTCGACGAACGTTTCGATATTAATCTTGATGGTTTATTTTCCTTCTCTGATGCACCCATCGCTGCATCCATGGATGGAAATCCAAACTCGATTATCTCATCGAATTTTTGCGGTGAAGCTAAGTATACTCTTAGCTTTAGTCGAGCTTCCGGATCTTGGTAATAGGTGGCATTGGGGTCTATCGACGAGAGGGATGAATTAACTTTGTGTTTTGCGGCATGCCTTGGGCCTGTTATTGAAGTAGCCGAACGGGAATGTATGCTGAAGGTCGGTGATGTGGGGTTTGAAGATTTAGGTGTGATAGAAGATATCGAGCTTCGCCCGAAAGGAAGCTTTGAAATCGACATTTGTCGTCGAAAAGATGGCTTCCGGTCGCTTTTTAGAGAAGGAAATATCGAAGCATGATAATCATCCAAATGAAGATCTAACTTAGGCTCATCGTCGATCCATTGGAAACTGTCAAGAAACGTATCTGCCATACTAGACATCGAGGCTCTCCTTCGAGTCCCGCTAGCTTTCCCATTGAAAACAGAACCTCTAACACTTGGAGATAAAACCGGTGGATCTGACGCCATGCGACGAGATCTTCTTCGTATTATGAGATTTTCGTCCGCCGCATCCAATATAACTGCTTCACGTATCCTACTTGCTAATAATGCTTGTTCTTCGCTCGAAAATTGTTTTCTTTTGATTGTCTCCGGAAATGTTTCGTAATTGCTCAAAAACCAGGATTTATCATTACTATTGGATATTGAATGTTCCCTCTTCTTTTTTAATCGTCTCGAAGGTCTGCGTCGGGGCTCGAGCTCTGAAATCTTCAAGCCACGTCGGTCGGCAATAGAAGTTCTACGGGTATTCGGTGTGGGAAGATCATTGAGGGCATTTGACCTCGAGCTTTGTGCGAATCGAAGACGCTCCAGAGTTGAGAAGTACTGCGAAAGGGCCCGGTTAGCACCCATCTTTTAACAATAATACCGTCGACAACCGCGTGAGAAGAATTGCAAAACCACCGTCTCTTGTACCTGCATATAAATGTGTTCATAGCGTTTGCTGATCCCGCCGCCAGTATGAATTGGAAAGATCTAGCGTGGATTCGAGCGGGAAAGACACCACTAAATGTACTAATGAGAGACCTAACTTTCGACGGCGTCTCGTTGGCACGGGCTAAACTACATCTCTTTACTTTTTTCAATAGTTCAACCCTGAAATACGAAATGAAACCCCCAAGCTTGTTTTTTAAATTGTGATGACCGTGGTAAAGTATAACAGCGAAAGTGATATATATACCTTTCGTTTTAGAGCGGGTGGAAGGGCATGAAACTCTTCATTTGTTGTAAAGTACTCCCCGCACAATGCCATTTCCTTGTGATTCCTGCGATATAAACTTGACGATAGAAGAGCCGGTGAAGATTCGGGACGAATATCGAAAGACGGTTTCGAAAGAGCAGTCGGTGAGAAGATATTCGAAGTCGAATTGTGTGATGGAGCTGGGAGAGAGTAGATGGGAGTGATGTTCGACTTTTGTTCCCTCATATTGGACGCCATGACTGAATATCACGTCCAGAAGGATTCAGAAGATGGTAAGACTGGAGTGGCTCTTTCAGATTTGTTGTCTCCAACTAATGCATCATGCAACACGATCCGAACGAATCTCCTTACGACGGGACTTCAGATATAAAGGTTATTGGGTTCTTGCCGCGTATGGTGTGTGTGACCCCGGACCTGAATCGACCAGGTATCTCAAAAGTCTGGTACGGTCTGGGTATGGTTCTATGGATCTTATGGTTCGATATGGGCATCGAAAAGTAAGGTAACTCGATTTCGTTATGACTTACTTGGCATATGAGATGACGAACAGTCGAATAGTCGAATCGAACAAATTGTATTGCACAATTAAGAGCAATTCAAAAGACTGGAGAAAGCGGTTCAGTGAACATGTGGAGAGAAAGCAGAGGGATTGGAAAGACCCAAGAGGTTCATCTGATGATTCTGATCAATGATATTGAGACCCGTTGCTTTCGCTGATCACAGTAACCGCCGGCCCTGGGTCCCTCTCTTTCGCTGTCTCTCTTTGTCCAATTTTCCTCCATTGAGGCAAGGTACGGTTGTTAACTCGTTATGTATTTTTTAATCGTCATGAATCAAAATTATCAATATTGATTCTTGATTTGCCTAGAGATCTCCACGTCCATTCTGGAAGCACAAGGGTTTTGATTCAAGGGTCTTAATATTGCTGGTATGCAGGCACGAGCTCTCACCAATAAATCGACCTTGTTTGCGATATCCATGGAAGATCCTTACTTGATCTAGTGTACGAAAAGACCACAAGAAGAGGATTCTAAGGGACATAGACCAGGTCTTGATCATAGCAATATAGCAAACAAATGGCTGCTCACCGGATTTGCAAAGAACCACCACACATACAGGCATTTATATTGTTGAGCAAGAAAGGGAAAATCCTTGGCGAGTTCTTTGGACATTCCATTTTTTAATTGTTCATGTTCAAATCCGAGATGGTTGTTTCTCCTTGTACTTCGTACTTCGTACTCTATCATAGTCTCCATGTATGTATGTCTTTCGTCTCCTCTTTTATTCCAATGTTAGACAAGACATATTGTACATATATCCAGTACATATTGTGCACAGCATATTGCTCTCACGGATAACGGACATAAACCCGTTATACAACAGTTATTCTGTAACATTGAATGCTTGTGATATGATTGCAATTTGTACATATGTACGTATATGCAAACAGGTCTTTTATTCAGGCCATGGTCGTTGAGGTGGCCCAAGTCTGTACTGACCCAACTGTACCCGCCGCGCCGCACCCAACTTGTAATGCGCCTCTATTTATGTGACACAGCAAACACATGCCGTCAAAGCGATGTCAGCCTCGTGGGTTGTGATCCCAAAGCAACCGCGAGGCGTGCAGCAGCAAGGATAGGCCGGTTGGACGAATATAAGATTTTCCCCTCTATCGAAGCTGAAAATAAATATCTCCTTGCATCCGATTGAGTTCGTGGAAATTATGGAAAGTATCCAGATTCGCGCAAGCAGGCACTTATCATCCGATCTGTCGAAGATAGGTTCGTACGCTGTAAATAGAAATCTTTCACGTAAGGTCGTGTACGAACAGGATTGTCCTTGCTGTCGGTGTGGAATCGTTGATGTACAGGAGAGGGGCGTTGTGTGGAACGATCCAGCCTCCAGCGGCGAGGAGAGGAGCGGTCAGATCCTTCCGCCCGCTTGCTTCCCCATGGCTAGCGATAGAGACTCTGATAATCGACTATCAGACGCGGGAACTTCACGAAATCAAGTGACTATGGCCTCAATGCTCAAGCTGGATTCCTTGCTGAATTGGGGCGTCCAAACGTCAAGAAGAAATATGGGCGTTTTAAATTTCCGAATGGTATTGGTAAAAAGATTTCCGAAGCGAAAGAAGAAAAGAGCAGCATACAACGAGCGCAGCTAAACTTCATAGATTGTGCAGAATGAACATTCTCAGTGTAATTCAAAGAGCGATCCCTCGGATTACCAGGTCCACCCCCTCATCGAAAGTCTTATTCCATACCCTAAGATATCTGACCAAGCTCATCACCGCCAATTTACAAGTCCACGAATATCTACCCCTTCATTTCGCTCGCTTTACTCGATCCAGCCGAACCTTCTTGTCTCACACCAAATCTTCCTAAAAATCTTCTGATCTTTATCTTTTATCCCAGCACCGCTCCTCGAATTAGCCGTGACAACCGCATCATCTCATTTCTGGAAATTATACTGTGCACTATCGTGGCTGTACAATGTAGAGTGCTCACTATACATGAAGTAAGTGCATCATAATCGATCGTCGGTATATATTGTAGTCTCAGACAACAATATCTGCAAAGTTCAAACGCGTACCATGGAATGAATCGTAGAAACGTGAGATAGCAGACAAACAAATAAACAAACAAACAAACAAAATAAGGTGCTCGAGCCTCGGTCATCGCCGTCACTGGTTCCATAACTTCCTTCCATTGCCAGATGTTCTCTCTCGTGTTAGGTCCAAGTTCCAAGCCCTCTCTCTTTCCGGATTTTCCACAAAGTTCAACATTTAACTCTTAGTTCTGACTATTCCAACTGTTAGATATAAATTACCATGCAAAGTAAAAAATCCGCTCAAAATCTTGGTACTGTACAGACACGTCGCGAAGGATTCTCTCGGGTTCCTTCCCGTGGAATTTCGAACTACGCTGTACTTGCTAGGTATCTGTAGTGCACCCAGTTCCTCGGTATATGTTTTGTCTCGTGATTGATTGATTTGGTTCCTTGAACCTTCCCGTCGCTATATTGACCAATGCCAATGGCCATTTCCTGGGGCTTGATCATGAGTAGATGCGTGAAAGGGTGGGAAAGATATATTTAGTAAAATATAAACCATCCATGAAAGTTGCAACCAACAGTTGAATGGCGTGAACTCGTCGGAAGATTGAGAGGTAGTGACTAGTTAGATATGAACGTTGATACTTTAAATCAAAAACCGAAGAACTCCGCCCATTCCAAGCATTCAATCCAACATGCTGTCGTGTAACAAACAAGGAACTCCCTCCAAAATAATACTCATATCCATCTGACATCTTGGCAATGCTTAACCAAAGCCTATCAACATAATCACATCCAAATCTCCAGATGTGCTTTCCTTTCCTCCGCTGTCGAGACCTCTAACACACACACACACACACACACACACAAAACTTTACACATACTTCATCGAGCAAAAGTACTGTACACATGATGTCCTGCAAACCCGCAAAGCTGCAAATCATGCACCGTAAATCAATATGTACGTGCCGAAACCTTATCACTGCATTCATAACGATATCAGTTGCGTCTCGCCGATGAAACCCTCCATACTCTCCCCAAAATGGTGATTGCGACCCTATCTTACACTCTTCCGTAGCGCTTTTGTATCATTCAGTATGCACGCCAGAAATCTTACACTACGGCATTTGAGGTCAGTAGTAATGAATGTGTAGCAAATCGCTTTCTTGCAGATATATGTATATCCAAATTGATTCGAAGTTGTAGCTCAAGATGGCTCGAGCAGGACGGAAAAACTGGGACAATGTACTCTTTTCAATATTCGATATTAACTCAGATAATCATGATTCTAATACAAAAGTTGAACACATGTATCGATTAGCTGTTATGTAATGTATGCTTCTAACCATTTAGATTTCAACATAAAAAGATAGCATGGGGAAAAAACAGCAATATAAGTGTTTTCAATGGATCTATTTGGGTAATTGGGTGTACTGCTTTTTTCGTCCATTTGAAGGGTGGATACCGTAAGCGCGCATATTGAATTTCCAAGATGCTCTCAACCACTCAAATCATATCTACAAAACTCCATAACTTCAATGCTGTTGGCACTAACCCACCAATAACCCCTCTCCAGAAAAGATAAAGCGTCATGCTCGGCATCATATGTCAATGACATCCCCTCCGCAAAATGCAATGATACGGAATCGGACACATCTCAGACGTCTGAATCCACTTCACCCACTAAATTCTCATTCTCCAAGATATATTCCGTACAATATTGTGGATTTCAACATATTATCCAACCCGAAGTAGTAATCCCGCAGACTGCGGCTCGCGAAATATTAATAAATATTACTCCGTTTTGCCATTCCCGTCTGAGATATTGGGGTCCCCAAATATTGACAAGAGCAGCACGCGAGACGAGAATGGGAATGCGAAACGGCCATCCTTATAACGTAATCTTACAGTAAGTCGACGCGCCTAGATCCCGATGGATGGGTCATCGGGTCTTTAGAAATGCAGTCTGAGACTTCACATTTGAGCCTCGATGGAGGGAGGTAAGCGGAAAAGTGAATAAGGGCGCAAGAGGCGCCAAGGAATTTTTAATTCTTTTCAAAGATGTATTGTGTCATTCGTCCGATGTGATGTTGAGATCTAGCGATTACGAATATCGATTATAGGGTAAATGAGGTTGGCGAAACTTGGCATGTATGCATGGTGTATGGTGGGTGTACAGCTGGCACGGCCGGCTAATAACACAGCCAGTACATCGGAGGAGACTCCAGATTCGACATTCGATGATGCTGCCGCTTCGAGTATACGCTAGCAGGTAGGTTCAGATCACACAGCGTAGTACAAGATAGCTTCGTAATCACCGTAAGATATTGGAAGAAATGATAACTTTTGATTCTCATTCAAACGAGTAGTAGGTAAGGTAACTAATGACCAGATATTTACTTCCCCTTTCATCAATTCCTCTCAAGCGAAAGTCTCCACCCATGTGAACCATTAAAGATAGAGTCAGGAGAAACCACAAAGTGACTCAGTATCAATTCCTTGGCCTATTCGAACTGGTATCGATGTCTTTCCCTCCCTCTCTTCCAACCACTCTTGTATCATCCACAATCCAAACCCCATGAAACCAAGCCTAATTTATAACTTAGAATTCGTGCACAAGCAAAAGCAAACCAATTCAGCATTCAAGAAAGAAGCAGGTACTGTGAAGTTGCCATATGTCCCAAAAGTATCAAACGTGCCACCACAAAACAAACATAACAGAGAACAACATCAAAAATAGAACCAGTATCTAGACTCGCGCGTTCATATAATAACAAATCGGGATAAAATCCAGATACAGAAATTTTTGGACCGTAAAGCATGCGCTCGCGAAGAACTCGAAAACTCGGTATATGTACCAAGTACCAACGAGCGAAAGGATAACTCCGTAGGTGCCACCAAAGCAAATAACTATCTATCTACCAGCCATTATCTTACTTGATGAAATTGGGTTATTCTCTAAGAGGATGAGGTTAATTTTGGAAGAGAGTGTAATGGATCCCAGTATTCGTAGACTCTGTTCTCCTTGTTTTTACCGGTGACTGCAGGTGCAGTAAAGGTTGAGCGCCCAGTAATGGGATCGTAGGTATCATATGATGCGGCAAGACGTTTACCGCCACCACCAGGAAGATCGACGACGAAGTTGGGTGTTACGAAACCACCAATGGACCCGCGGATGTGACGTTCGAGTTGAAGAATTGTGGAGAGTGGTGTCCGGAGATCTTCCACGTATTGTACCATATCGGCTTGGTAGACATAGTACTAGGTAATGTTAGCATGTGCCCCGGCTTGGAAAAAACGAACTACGTAAGATATACGTACGGGAATGACGTTGTTGTCAGCCACAATTTTGATGAGGCTACTCATGGTGGCCACATCATCGTTAACACCCTTGAGTAGGACAGTTTGGTTTCTCACGGTAACATTATTCTCGTGTAATTTTTGGAGTGCCATTTTTGAAACCCAGGTCATCTCCCGAGGATGATTGAAATGTGTATGGATAGCCATACTCTTTCCTGCCTTCTTAGCCACTGCTGAGAGTCTAATCATCTCAGCTGCCCAGTCATCGCTATCGTCAAGGATGCGCGCAGGAGAAACAGCAAGACCCTTCGTGGCAAATCTAAACCTTTTGATATGAGGAATAGAAATAAGTCGTTCGCCAATTAGACGAAGGTTATCAGCGGTTAAAATATAGCAATCTCCGCCAGAAACTACGATGTCTTGAAGTTGAGGGGTATCTTCGATGTAAGTGAAAATATCTTCCCATCGTTTTCGTTGAGGCTTGAATGTGGTTTTCTTGACGTTTTGCATATCAGGCCCAATAGACCATGAACGAGTACAAAAACGACAGTATAGAGGGCATGTTGATGTTGCTAGTGAAAAGTCAGTGTCACATGAAATACCATGAAATTGAGGAGGACTTACCTAAGAATAAAGCTTTGTCATAGTACCTATGAACGAAACCTTCCACCGGAGAGTCATCAGACTCGTGCAATGAGTCCAACTCAACTTTGGGGTGATCTTCGAGTTTACTTGACTTCATAGGTATAAACTGGCGACGAATGGGATCTTCGAACGGATTTTCCCAGTCGATTATACTAAGGACGTGAGGTGGCAAGCGAATCGACATAGGTGCCAACTTGATCCCTTCCTTGACGTCCTCGATGAAGTCCTCACGAGTGACAATGCCGGGAAAATCGGGGTGTCTTCGAAGGACTGGGGGCAAAACTTCCAACATGAAAATTTCTAACTGCATTATAGTGGATATGGTATGGATTGTCTGGAGAAATATATCAGTATTAGCAACCCCTACATAGCCATAGGGCTGAGGTACTTACATGAAACTTATATTTTAAGAATTGAGCTTCTGTGACATTAGCCCAGCGAGGAATTTTTTGCCAGTATGCGGCCCTGTCAGAAAGGGAAGCATCGTAGACTGGTAATCCAGGTACTTTTGCTGTAGTTGGAGGTTCGTATGGTGCTGGGACAGGTCCATCATGGAACATAGGAAGATCGGTTACTGCTGCTCGACCTGACGCATTTGATCGAAATTGCCTTGTTGAGATAAGAGGTACTTTAGGCTTCGAAGATAAGTTTCGTGCAGCGACGTGAAAGCATTTCCGAGGTACTGCAGCACTATTCACCCCTGTTGATCTTGTGAAAATAAAGGGGCAGCTTTTGGCCGCTGGGGCAAATTTTGTCAGTGATATCCCTCCAAGCATTTTGAAATGTGATTTCCAAGTCAGAGAAGTGCTTGTGAAAGTTTATTGAGTTCTGTAATCGATCAGTGTTTGCGAGGATAGACTTGAAAGTGGCGGTCTTTATAGAGAGCAGTTAAGCCAACTGAAGGAATCTGTTGGGGGTGAATCACACGGAGGCAAACATCCACCAAGGTTGTACAGCGTATGAAAGTTGGTGAATACTTACAAGCTCGTATTTTTCTAATTCGAGACAATATTGTTATCTCGATGTAAAAGATAATCCACGCACACAAAGGTGAATCAAATTATGGACTGATTGCAAAGTCAGGTGACAAGGCAAAATGTTGGAAGCAAGCAATTATATTAAATGCAGGTCTCTCTCCCTAAAAGCTGTGCTGCTATGCTGTACTCAAACATATAACTACCCAAGGGAGGTATTTATGCTCGGAGCCTCGAACGACCAGCTGACCCAATCGAACTGGAAGACTGGCTCTAAAGAGGAGCACGTTGGACAGTTTATGAGTATGTGACGTGAGACGCCCTTGATTGGTGAATTACTCAGGAGAGTAGAAGATTTCTGGAGCTCAGGACCCACTACAGTGTTGCCTATCGAATTGTGCATGCGTCTATTCGTAAGTGTGTATATGTGACTGATGCAAGAGATGTCGTTGGTCGTACAGTCTAGCAGACTCTTCGAGGTCAGTCGATATAAAATTCGTGCCTCGACTTTCCAATACGTGCAAAGATATCTTCCCAGCAGTTTGGGCCTCCGGCCGGGGAAGTTGTGATGCGTGCGGAGGTAAAGCCCGGCTGCAGTGAGCTATGTTGTCTGTTAGATAATTAGGACGACCCAATTGGACAAATCGACATTGGCGATTCTAGAAAAAAAAGGTGTGTGTTGAATGCAATGCTGTACAACCTTTGCAAGCGCGAATCATGCCCTGGTAGCAAATGAGGAGCGTCCCGACACCTGCAACTGCATAAAAACACGCAAACAAGGGCGATCATTGACAACTTCCATCAGAACAAGATTTCCAAGAGGATATTGCTCAACTTTAATACCAACATTTGCACTAAACAATATTACCGCCTACCAAAGCCACCACACTGTTGCTTTCTCCCACCTCGTAATGAGATGAACATGGTTATTGCACTTCTAGCCTTCGGAACTATAATCGCGTTCAATTACATGGTAGTAACTAACAGAAGGAACAAGCTTCCATCCTCAATTGGGAACGGCGGAGGCAGGATCAGCTTCAAGCCTCCAATTTTTACCGATTACTTTATGTGGATGAGGCGGCATGGCGACGAGGTACTGCACCTGTTTCGACAGGATAGCTGCATGTGCTACTACATTGGGTAGTCTCTCATGTCACTAAAATGACAGAATTTCAAAGGCGTCAGCACTTAAATTTTCGACGTTGAAGGGCTTCTAAACGTTTATCGGCGATATTGAAAGATCCGCCACTTTTCAACAACACACTTACGATAATTTGGGATGGGTCATGGTATTCGCATGATACTTCGCATAATGCTTGTACTTAAGCAAGCCCCGAATAGTACAGAAAATAATCTTAATAGGAAGTATAAATTAAAGAATATTAGAATACGGTATATGCATGGAAAGGATTGATTCATCTTATCTCATCATTTTTCTTGGACAATTGACGAGATACATGTGCTTTGTGGAGTAGAACCAATGAAAAATAAATTCGACATTGTACCTGCCTTCAAATGGTAAAATAGAACATGCCAATCGCCCCCAATTAGGTGGTTCCGAAGTATTGACAACTGCTTTTGTGAATAAGCTCCAGTTGAGGCTTGATGGACCATATTGTTGGAAAGCAGAAGAGGGTCAGATAGGTAGATTTGAATGTCTCCATGGGTGCAATCTTCATCCGATTCTGCACCTTGGCAACAGCCACGGCCCGCTTGGTCCTCGTTTTGTGGAAGCTGTACGAAGCAGTTACATGTGCGATGACAGCAGCAATAGTGCAGAAAGCAGAAAGTAGTTTTCCACCCCTTGCTATCTTGCTACCTATCAGACGTTCATCAGATGACCCCAGATGATCCCTCCGAGGCCAGGGGATCTAAAAGTTTCATGAATTCATGAAAAGTGTGATTTTTCGAGAATTAAATGAAGAAAAAGTTGATAAATGTTAGTATTCGGGTCCGTTTGAGAATGTTTCAAAGTCTGATGTACGAAATAATCAAGGGGGGGGGTTTGATATACGGTAGTACCAAAAAAGGAGAGGTTCTTGATATCTGTACGGGTAGTAGCATGATGAATGTATATGTATATGTGGGTAAGTAGGTATGAAGAAAGAGTCTGAAAAGAGATGATGGATGTACTGGTACAAGTAGTACACTTGTCTTGTGGGTACTCTGATACTTGGGCTGACGGATACTTTCTGCTACTTGAGTAGGTTGGTACTTGGATACTTGGATACTTGGGTACTTGTGTACTTGAGTACTTGAATACTTGGGGTAGGTCACCACTCTTTTGGGCAGATAAGAGTTCGAACTCACTGCCCTAGACCCTATCCCATCCAGTCAGTACATGTAAGGAAGTTGGTTGGTTGACTGGGTGGTTGATATCGATGTCAGCATTTTGACATATCCTCTTACCAAAGCTCCATTACTCCATTATTATTCACTCACCACTCACCACTCACCCACGAGCCCACGCTCCCACGGTTTCTCCCGACACCGAAATAACACGGATGGTGGGTTGGTGGGCATGACAGAGAATAACCACGTGATTTTTCGCGCTAGTTCAGTTTTCCTGATCGTTTGAGAGTAGTCCGTATAATCTCCAATTTCCTCCAGCAAGGTCTTGATACCACCCACTCTACCTCCACCATTTTAAATCTCCTCTCCATCAGTTGCACATTTGTAGCAATTGATTTTCCTTAATACCCTTTGACATATAGACGTTGGTCAAGATGTTCAGAAACGCTCTCAAGCAGTCCAGCAGGACGGTGGGCGCAATTTCTGCTTCCGGCAGAATTGCCACGGTACGTCAACAAAACAAAATTTCTCACGTCACTATGTCACTATTATACTTCGCCGTTATCAATATATATCTATTTAGATATATTCATAATGTCAATTGACGTTGCGATGCCATGGTGTTGAGGCTTTAGAGCTTCAAGGAAGCTTTAACAGCTTTGTTGACGAGGATTTTTCGGACTTCGGCTAACGTAAACGTTTTTTGCACCACAGCGAACTGCTGTTCCAGCAACTTTCAACGCAGCATCAAGATCAGTTCGAAGCTACGCATCTGATGCTAAGGCATCCCCCACCGAAGTCTCTTCTATTCTTGAGCAAAGAATTAGAGGTGTTCAAGAGGAGTCCGGTCTCGCCGAGACTGGACGTGTTTTGTCCGTTGGGTAGGTTTCCCCAACAATATTCTTATACTCGGGTCCAAAATGCTGCGGTCATATTACCTCGATGTGGATATTCGGAATTATGGGTTATTTGGGCGCAGTGCTGATTTATGTTTTGACAGTGATGGTATCGCTCGTGTACATGGTATGAGCAATGTCCAAGCCGAGGAACTTGTCGAGTAAGTCTGAAATTCGACAATCACTATCTGGGGTACTGATGGAGAAAAAGGTTCGCATCCGGTGTCAAGGGCATGTGCATGAACTTGGAAGCTGGCCAAGTCGGTGTTGTGCTTTTCGGTTCTGATCGTTTGGTCAAGGAGGGCGAGACCGTCAAGCGTACTGGAGAGATTGTTAGTTGATCAACTTCAAAGTATGTTTCGAAATACTAACATGAGGTATAGGTCGATGTTCCCGTCGGAATGGAGATGCTCGGCCGGGTCATTGATGCTCTCGGAAACCCAATCGATGGTAAGGGACCTATCAAGACTACTGAGAAGCGCCGTGCGCAACTCAAGGCTCCTGGTATTCTCCCACGTCAATCCGTCAACCAGCCAGTCCAAACCGGTCTTAAATCTGTCGACGCAATGGTACCTATCGGACGTGGTCAACGTGAGTTGATCATTGGTGATCGTCAAACCGGAAAGACTGCCGTTGCTCTCGATGCTATGCTCAATCAAAAGCGTTGGAACGATGGAAACGATGAGACCAAGAAGCTTTACTGTGTCTATGTCGCCGTCGGACAAAAGAGATCTACTGTTGCCCAATTGGTCAAAACCCTCGAGGAGAACGACGCCATGAAGTATTGTATTGTTGTTGCAGCTACTGCTTCTGAAGCTGCTCCCCTTCAATACATTGCTCCCTTCACTGGTACCTCAATTGGTGAATACTTCAGAGACAACGGAAAGCATGCTATGATCGTCTTTGATGATCTCTCCAAGCAGGCTGTTGCATATCGTCAAATGTCTTTGCTCTTGCGTAGACCTCCAGGACGTGAAGCTTTCCCCGGCGATGTTTTCTATTTACAGGAGGTTTCCCAATAAGTCCCATGATGATATAGAAAAAAAGCTAATGAAATGAATAGTTCCCGACTCCTTGAGCGTGCTGCTAAGATGAACGACAAGCTTGGTGGTGGATCCTTGACAGCTCTTCCGATCATTGAAACTCAAGGTGGTGATGTATCAGCTTATATCCCAACTAACGTTATTTCTATTACCGATGGACAAATTTTCTTGGAGGCCGAACTTTTCTACAAGGGTATTCGTCCAGCCATTAACGTCGGTCTTTCTGTCTCCCGTGTCGGATCTGCTGCCCAACTTAAGGCAATGAAGCAAGTCGCTGGTTCCTTGAAGCTTTTCTTGGCTCAATACCGTGAAGTCGCTGCTTTCGCACAATTCGGTTCCGATTTGGATGCTGCTACCAAGCAAACTCTTAACCGTGGTGAAAGAGTAAGTTTCCCATTCGCAGTTCCAATTACATTCCGATACTCGCCATTGTTTGCCATATTGTCGTACATCGATCTACTCATGATTGTTCGACTCATGGTTGTACTTTGGTTTACTGATTATTGTTTGATTTATTTTGAACAATTATTTACTTATAATTGTTCAACTTGTTCTAAACAATTATTTAATTATACTTGTTCAACTTATTCTGAATAACTATTTACTTATAATTGTTTAACTTGTTTTAAATAATTATAAGTAAATAATTGTTTGACTTATTCTTGAACATTGATTCATCTATCATTGTTTGATTTGTTTTCGAACATTTGTTTTCCGTTTTTCATACATGAACAAATTTATACAAAGTACAAACGCTAACAATTTCTTTTTAATAGTTGACTGAGCTCCTCAAGCAAAAGCAATACTCTCCCATGGCCGTTAACGAAATGGTTCCTCTCATCTACGCCGGTGTCAACGGTCATCTTGACTCCGTCCCAGTCAACAAGATTCTCCAATGGGAGGCTGACTTCATCTCACATCTCAAGACCAACGAGTCAGACTTGTTGGCAACAATTGATAAGGAGGGTGCTCTCAGCAAGGACCTCGAGGCTAAGTTGAAGGACGTCATCACCTCTTTCACCAAGAGCTTCGTCTAAATCAATTGCTAAAATAAATCATGGTCATTCCCCCTTATTCTTTTGTCCTTAGCATGTGGGCCTGGGCGAGCTGTATTTTGAACGTTGTGATGAGGAAAGGAAAAAACTTAGTTATGGTGGTATGGAAGGCAGGATGAGTGATGAATGATCGGCGGAAGATTTGATAGATCAAAATCAAAGCTGTAAAATAGACCGTCAATTTTTCCGCGTGTTTTATGATTACATGATTCAATGTGTCAATTCATGTTTGTAAAATTGATGTTACTAATAGTGACTCGCGACTAGGAGAAGCAGAATACTAAAATCGAGTTTTCAAGTACTTTGCTACATTTCCCTACATTTTCTCGCTCTAGTGCAATTCACCGTTCGAATGAATTTCAACCCCCAAATTCGATCCAACAATCAGATGCTCACAGTGTCCATGTGCAACTCCAACAAGCAAAATGTCCTTTAGATTTTGTGTTTTCGAGAATTTCCCAGTTGCGAGTGCAGAAACCTGCCTTATTCGGCAAGCTTCTCCCGAAATGTGATAAAATGTATTCCTCAGCTTCATGCTCAGACCCTGCTAAATTGAGGCTGTTGATGCCATATCAGCTTATGTTAAGGCTTGGAATGGGGAGCCTGGTATCCAGGTATATAGGGTTGGTAGGGGATATTATATGCGGATATAAAAATGCGGGTAGGGTGAGCGGGTATGGCCCGAGTACAATGCTACGTGAGAGCTAATAGGTGGCTAGAATTACCCGCGCCGGGCCGAGACGGAAACCAAACAGAAACGGGAAGGGAAATAGAAATAGAGAAAGGGGTAGGCTGAGGTAGGTTACGGTAGAGTAGGGGGATGCCGATTGCGAATTATGAATCGAGGCTTGTGGATCAAATTTGAAAGCGGAAGGGTGAGAAAATAGTTAAGACATGAACCGGGTAGGGTGGAGTACGCAACGTGGGTTACGGGTAGACTTGAAGTCTGTGGGAATCTAGAAGAACCTTAACTTAGATTGTGAGTCGAGATGAGGGTCTAATTCTGAAAAGAGACTCCTCGGCGTGAAAGAGGAAGATGGCGCACGATGGACGGACAAAATATATTGCACATTGAGATCGAAAATACTTACTATCCAGGCCTCGTGGCATTCTTCACGTTCGAATCTAGATTGGGGATTAAATGGATTCTAGCCCTGAGCGCTTTCTGATTTGAGAATTTGTACCTGATATTGAGATGGACCTTTCGACTTGAATTCTGGGGAGAATCATAATCGAGGTACCTACCTCATCGTGCTCTTTGACAGTCAAAGTCGGATTTGAAATTATATACCCTTTCGGGCTTAAACCTGCTTGGGAATCAACCTTAGTGTATGCTTTATTTCGTTCATCTATCGCGTGGTGAGGAAGGAGGGGGAGATGAGGGTTGATCGAGGGTGACATGGATATAGATGTGGATCCGGGACCTGCGTGGTGCATTGCATGAAGGGACCTCGTGGCGTTGGTACCAGCTTCCAATTCCAACGGCTGGGGATTATATATATCTCAGAGGTTGATTACTGAAATGGTTTATTGGGATGGCTTGTTGACGTGAAAGATGTCAATGGTGCATGCAGTATGCAGCAGGGAAAGCATGGCATTTCGGTGTCTTCGGCCCACCTTGTTTTCAATAAGTTTCTTTCTTGATGTGGGTTTCGACTTTTGGTCATTTTATGTATGAAACATGGAATGTGCCGCCGAGAGCAAGGTTCCGGAAACTCATCGGCGCGACGGCGGAAACTTAGAATAAGATGATATTAAGGACGCAAACTGTTTAACTGTGTAACACGGGAAGTTCCTTTGCAAAGGTCTCAAAGTCGCAAGGAAGAATGGGAAGTTTATAGCTGTATCTCGTGCCAGGGACTCATTGAGTTTTGTTACAAACATCGATGCAGTATCATCTTGGGTCTGGGACAGTAACCATGAATGAGGGACCCGATACACGTGTGAGTGTATCTTACCGCATGCTGAAGTCAGCATGGAAAGCTGGGGTGATTCTGAGGTGGGAAGATTACCAATCCCTAGGTCGACCTGGATGCAGGTCGATGGACTAGATGTAGTTGAGATGCATATGCTTAGTATGCATGTGTGTGTGTGATTTGGAAGCACGTTTTTACCATTACCTTTGCTTACCCTGTCTTCTCAACTTCTCAATTTCCCCCCCATATTCTCCATAATACTTGTGGGCTAGAGAAGTTGTCTTTCTTTCTTTCTCCTCACCTTCGCCTATTGTATATCTCGAGCGTCTTGCTATCTTTATTGAATATGGTACCGTTATGAAGTGAGGAACCAGCTCTATTTTCAAGAAGTGGCCTTTTCAGGGCTGTGGTAGCTCCGAGTGGGTTATTTCAACAATCATAAACTTATCGACATTTTAGGAAGTTCAAATCCCTCGGTTCTTCTGTTTGTTCAAGATCAAAGTAAATTTTGGCAAGTGCGGAAAGGTTAAGTTCACGAGTTTGAAGTTTTGATACTTAGAATTGTACGATATGGATTACTGTGAAGCTTTGGAAGCAGATCATGAAGTATAATGGTGTCAATAATCAACAACTGACTTCAATCATGCGATGTGGGAATTCACTTTGACATATGGGTCATATGACCGATATATGTTGCTTTACTTATCAATTTACGTCTTCCTCATTGCGGGTTGTGTTTACTTTTAATTGCTTAATACTGCAGTAGTCATTCAACGAGATGACCCGCTTGCAAGTTGTATTAGAGAGACATCAAATCAAAAATCTGGATTATGATAGAAATTAATCGACTTCTAGTCATAAATCTACTCGTCTCTTCATTCTATCCGTAGAATCCATGATAGCTTTTCCTGTTCATTGATTCCCGAAGTCAGTCATGTATCATATCAAGCCGCACCAGCTTGACTTTTTCCCATCTTTTCATATATCATTCGACTTCTAGCCAATTCAAGTAGATAACTTGCCGTTAATTAGACGACTCCTCGCATTCTTCTATTCGAGATGTGTGCAACTGTAGCAACTTATTTCGCGTGTAGCCATTGGTCATGTACCGAAGGATTTTGCCGAATCCAACATTGGCCCAACTTGCGACCCTAATTGACTCCAAATTATCTGTACCTTTGTGTTTTTCATCATATTTCTCGTGTGTGGGTAGTTTCGAATCACCTCATTTATTACATTGAATTCACAGTAATGATGAATCAAAATATGTCTTGAAACCCCTACAATAATTTATTCGAGTATCCCGGTTTAATAGTGATTATTCGACTCCAGTCCAAAAAAAATTCCCCGCTGTAGGAATATTATGATCGGTCACTGCGAGGTGTATCCGGTTGGGTTAGCTTGCAAACGCGCGGCTGCAATGCCTACTTCAAAGGACCTCACAGCCGCACCTTATCATGATCATAGAAACCCACATTTCTATAGATATGAGGTATTCGAGACCAATGTTTTCATCATATTCTATGTCGATACTTGTTCTTTCAATGGAGAATGAGATTTTTTGTCTGCAGCCTTTCGAGATATTGAAACGACCGATGGATTAGGGGTGTGGAGCGTCCAATTGCTCTCATGCAGGCAGCTAGTATGGAGAATCTGCTCTGTAGGATGGGAAGTTCTTATCGCAAACTATGATGCTGGCTACGATCATTAAATGTCTTCGTATATCAGGTACTGAATGCGAAGATTGTAAGCTTTCATCATGTATCGTCCCATTACAAAACAATTTTATAAAAAAATGATTGGTTCATTTCTCAATTTGGGCGCCTAAATAGGGCTGTGATTCTTTCCTATCGGACCCCAACCTTTAAGACATCATACAAAGAAGTAAATGTCCAACGTCGCAAAGGCAGATAGGCCTTATGGCTGAGGCGTATGATATAAGGGTTATTAGACCTCAAATCTCCACCAAATTCGTGTCCTCATCAAGGTTTTAACTTGTAGGATCACTGTTCATATTCTAGACCTCCAACTAACATGAGAATGTCTACATATTACAAGTCAACATTCGTAACTTCTGCCTTGCTTTTGTTTGCATAAGTTTGTTCTGACTTACTCGTGCCACTCATTTCTAAGCCTCCATTTTCTGTCTTTAGTTAGTATTGTTATTATATCTTACCACCAACATTTCGTCTATTTGTCTTCGCCATATCATCAAAGCCTCGAGAGACTTCTTTAGATAACTAGTTTGTTAAGTATACTCAAGGTCTTCTTGCTTTTAACAAACCTTGGTATCTTCCCACGCTCCTTTTCCTCTTTTCCTTTTGTTTTCCTCCTTGTACGTCGAAATCGAAGTAACAAATCGCAAATATACTTCTTCGCTTATATTATAGTTAGCCTCAAGAAAGTCACAAGAATGGCTCGAGTTACATATATACTCGGACTTGGGTCAATTATCCTTGGTCAATTGACACCTTCTTCAGCACAAGCAGTGACTGATGTAGTATCAATCACGGATACATCAACCATAATTTCTTGCGCAGATACTGTAACGAATTGTCCAGGAAAATCAATCACTTCCGGTTATGCGGCTGGTGTGACATCTACTCCAAGCGTGGCATCGGAAGTCACATCTGAAGCATCAAGTTGGGTAGCACCTTCAGCTCCGGCAGCATATACAGCTCCAGCAGCAGGTCCCTCGACTGTGACCGTTACCGAGACTGCAACTGGAGATTGCGGTGCTTCTGTTGCCTCCGAAGTAGCTAAGTCAACTTCATCAAATTCCATGTGGTGGCCTCCAGCATCAGAAACAGGTAAGTTTGCCCACATCCTCTCTTTCAAACTCGCCCACTAATACTTATTCAGCTGTCTCTGGTGTAGCTTCATCAACTCATGCATATACATCCTTAGCTTCCGGCTGGACCAGTGCCGCAGCATGGGGAACGGGAGCCAAAACCTCCTCTAAATACACATGGGGAACCGCTGTAACGTCGGCCCCAATTGTTCCAACATATGCCTCCGATATTACCTCCCACACTACCATCCACATTACCTCTGACCAATCAGTCACTCTCACAACTTACTCCACCTCCACCGTCCAAACCAAAACCAGCGGCTCCACAGTATGGACCACCATTACCGGCTGGCTCACCGTTGTAACATGCGATGCCTCCACTGGCAGCGCATACGCCACCGGTTACGGATCCGGTTATTCAGCAGGCACAGGCTACTATGGAACCGGGACTGTAGTCGGCCCTTACAATAACTCTACCAAAATAGCAACAGGAACAGCAGCTCTGGAAACTTCAGCCATGGAAAGTGCAGGTTCCTATGATACCTCCCTCTTATCATTCAGCACGGCGACTCCTGCGTCGGGAAGTACATCGAAATCAACGCTTTATATTAATCCACCGTCCAGCACGGGCATAGCAAGTGAAGCTACGGGAATTAATGGGACGACGGGGGCGCAACAAACGACTATTTCGGCGGATTCGGATAGAGTGAGGATTTCGTTTGTGGTGTTGGGAGTGGTGTGTTTGACGAATTTGTTCTTATTTTGATCTGGGGAGTTTGGGTTTTGAGAAGCTTTTTCTGAGTTATAGTGGTGTGCATGGAATGCATGGAATGCATGGAATGGTCTTATGAGTTCATGCTTTGTGTCCTTGAGATGGTGTCGAGACTCGAGTTGGGTAAGATGTGATTGTTGTATTTGTACTACTATTTGGGAGAAATGGATAGGATGAAATATTCGTCATCAGATCTTATCTTGAGTTCTTTCCTACAGATTCCAAGGGTTATTCTTTTGGTGAATGTGGGTTTGGAAATCGATACCCGGATTTGTCGGTGTTGGTTTGGGTGTTGAGATATCTGATGTCTATGTTTGTTGATACTTAGGTAGTATATACACAGACGAATAGCTGATTAATGGAGCTGGTTCATCCAGATATGATTCACAATTTCTTTGATTGAATGGGGGAGTGATTCGAATAGCAAGCTAAGAAATTAAGATTGGAATTCGAGGCTTGATGAGCTCAGGTCTTAGGTGCTCAGCTTTATTCTCTTACGATGGTATCTTTCAACGGCGTGGCGATAATGTGATCAAGCAACGAGATACGGCGAGTAGAAATCATGGGCTATTTTGCGAATGTGACTGTACAAACTCCTCATCCTACACCATCTCCAATACCATTCTTGCTAACGGAAAAATGACAATCCACTGATCTTCCCACATCCAACATTTCAGCTCTTACCTCCAAGCTTACATCACAACATTACCTCGTCGATCTTCCCATACTAGATACTCATTAGAAGCTAACAATCCTTATCTCTTATCCAGATATGCAACGAATCCAGATAGCATCATCCCCCTAAACGCCAAAGAATACTAAGCAAGTAAGCGAGCTTGAGCCGCGTTAGCTCGTGGCCTCTAGATATCTATCTGCAAGGAGGCTAATTCTCCTTATCACCTTTTCAAATATGCAACAGAACATCAAATCTATTCCCGAATTAGGTTAAGGGTATCGTGGAAGTGAGATTTTTGGCTATAATGCTGTTCTTGATTTCGTGGGAAGTTGCATGATGATGTGTCTTGATGTTTGGGAAATTGAGGTACGAAGACTGGAAACTTGATGGTGAGGAGTGCTGTTTCAATTAAAGCTTTATCAAATAGCTTTTACGAAATCTTTGGGTGGTTGATGGTTATAGTAAATATGAGTACTTTGGGTAGAGGGGCTATTAAGGAGTGGCGATGATCGTGTGGTGGTTGCTGTAATGCAGAAAAGAGGCTTCTCTGATCTGCCCAGCGTGAAAGATGGAAGAACTCGTAGACATTTCTGGGGACTGGCTCTGGAGCCAAAATGGGCAAAGGTGTTGGTGTTTGCAAAATTCTCCGTAAAAGGCTGCCCTAGAGTCTCATTCAACATGATCAAGTTTCGTGTTTGAATAAGAAATAACATCCTTTCCAATCGCTCCGGATCCAACATGTGTATTCTATATACAATCGGTCCTAGTTTACCTGCTCGTCCCAGACCAGTAATACACGAAATACAACACACCCAAAGCACCAATTATATAAGATTAATGTACACCACCAAAACCAAACCACTTCTCTTCAAATCCTTTCAATTCCTCGTACGAATCCCAATCTTCAACGACCACCAAATCATCATCATATCCATCAAAAGTAGACATACTCGTTACCAATCTAGGATTAACAGCGACATCTAATTTTACACCCTCCCCAATCTTATCATTTGGCGAATCAATATTACCATATGTAGTACCTTCCTTGAAAGAATCATCACGTATCCTATGAACCTGCGACCATAGCGGCCTCTCGAAATGAGAATGCTTAATCAGATTCGCATGTACGAACATCCACTTTCCATATGGGTCTGCTTGAAGCATTGTGTGTCCTCCGGATTGAGAACTTCCAGGAATTTTCGCAGCCCCAACAGCGTTCATTCTTCCTGGACCGGTCCATGATTTTCCAAGAAGAAGTGCCGCAGCCCGAAATGAATCTCGATCACCTCCCATAAATCCATAAAATTCTTCATGATGAAGTGCAAAATACTCAATCAACCATAGGATATCCTGATGTCGAGTTCGAGATATCATAACCTGCCCAGATTCCCCTTCGTATTCATTCCGACATGGCTGACCCAATAAACGCCACATCGGATTGGTGGGATGAGATTTTGAATAATCAGGCCATAAGAGAAGTCCCGTATCTCTCCATTCTCTTCCTTCAAACAGATATTCGAGATTCCGTAGAGGATAAGAATCTGTATCTAAATACAAGATTTCGTCAAATGAAGATTGCTGAATGGCGGCTCCTTTTATTTGGAAATCTTTCCAACCCGACCCTTTTGATACGTCTCCTACTACACGCATTGTAACTTTAATGCCGCTAGTACCGGAGTCAGAGTTCTGCAACTCTTTTAGATCAGAGAGAATACTACTAAGAGCAGGTGCAGATAATTCGGAGTTGAAATGAAATATCTCGACTGGCAACGTGCAGTTGTAAGACTTCAAAAGCCTAAGGGAAGTTCGCGCACGAATCAAGGCGTGACGATCTCCCGCGGCCATTACAATTCCTCTTTTGATCTTTTTTTCCATCCCTGGCATATCGGCGTCAGAAGGTGATGAGCTTGATTTCCCAATTGCCTCAATTTGCTTGCGGCGTAAATTCGTTGTGATACCTTTGCGCCACGCATAAATCTGAGATGAAGGTATATCTGCCCACGTTTTCACATTTCCATCAACAGCACCTCGATCATAGTTCGTCCCATTAACCGGGCAGGTTTGGGAATTCATTGCAACAGCATCATCGTAAGATAGGACTGGACGCGATAAAAACTCCTCCAAGATTGCATTCACCCTTAAGATCTCTTCTGAATCTGGTGGCGTCTCATAATCAAAATAATTCTGCGCTTTCTGCGGAATATAACTCGATAAATTGTCAGAGTTTAAACGAGAAAGACTAGCGATTAAGGCAATGAAAACGATTGCGCCAAAGAGAGCGAGTGCACGAGTTTGCCTCATTCTTTGGTAACTTCACCAAAAATGAATTTTCTCGAAACGAAACTCGGAAGGATCGGATTAATGAGTTGTAACGTAATGGACCTTTTCTTTCTAGTAAATGAAGCTCATTGCAAGTAATTGCAAGTAATATACAGAGATCTAGGGCAGAGACATGTGTAATGTATGTTGGCGGCGAAGTGTCTCGGATGATCTTAAAAGGCAAAGAGATATCTTGACACAACAGCCAGCCAAAAGAGCGATTTCGTTGGATTAGAGTTCTGATTAAAAGTAGACTGGCGGCTAAAAGAACTATCCCAGTGTCCAAGACTTCATTTTGAGGGCCACCAGTGAGCTTTTGATAGATCCCGGGGAAATATTAATCCGTAAAATGATTAACTAAGCAGCTTTCATTTCGTTCGTATTTTCATCATCTCCAATTATTGGGAGATTCATGCATTGGCATACTGATCAAAAGCGGAACCTTGCTACCATGGCGGCCATTCTCAGAGATCCATGGATGTCTAATAACTCAATCAGAATTATTAAGCGCGAAAGTAATACGAAGTTTCCTCGCACGACATGTGCCCATGAGGTTAGCTCCAATATGAAAAGGCTATACGCGCTTTTATACCATGGATAGATGAGCCTTGCCCAACGACAATATTTTCGACGTTGTCTATCCTCTATATAAGTTAATCCGAAATACGAGACTCCTAGAGCCGAGACTTCAGCCCGTATCTAACTAAAATAACTATGCTCTCGCGAAACTCTGCGGCCTCTGATATTTAACGATGATCGTTACCCACAAAGAAATTACCATCGCGACCTTGTTACTTGCGAAACGATACAATATCTGCGAAGCAAAACTCATATGGTCGAGGGACATGGTGGCATCAACGAAGACACAATCAAACTAGATGTAAAGATTCACATTCTGAAAAGCTTGACTATGTCTATGTTGATCTCTCCATGTATAAAATCTATGCTACGGATTCTGGATCAGCGAATGTGACGAATATAAGTGCATCGATGGTTTCCAGATTTGTGGTTAGGGACTGTTCCTTACTTGGTATTGGGGCAAAAGGTGGCTACCTAGAGATGTCTTGAAATACGAATTGCCCATGCCAACAGTTTGTGCAAAATCATTTGCAAAGTTTCAATAAATGTATCCCCGGGTCAATTCGGTGTCTCACAAACCAAGGGAACAAAAGACTCAGTCCCCCATGGTAGCCATGTTTTTCCAACCTCGAATTTCCCTTTGATGGGTCTCCACATAAAGTACCTGTCAACACCAGTCATTGTCCGTACACAATCAGAATTCCGAGTAGTGCTCACTGAGGTTCAGGAGACAGTTTTTCTTCCAGATCTTTCCAACTCGAACTTGGATCTTCAATACTGGTGTTCACCACCACCTTGTAGTATGTCATAAATCCATACTTTTCGTATAGTAATCTTCCCGTCTCGCTCGCCTCTACATATGTATCGACACCTAGTTCATCAGCTCTTTCGATACCCCAATCCATCACCAATTTCATAGCACCTTTCCTTCGAAATCCCGGAATCGTGAACGCGATGTTTAAGACTGCGATATTGCGACTTTAGCATGGACTGGTTCCTAGCGAGCACAGCATCGGAGATACCTATACTTACGCAAGTATGGTCGATTGCAATGTAAGTAGTACTTATGGGCTTCAATTTGTCGCATAAAATTGTTGGCATATTCTCGACCGATTCCCTCTGGCCACCAAAGAGCAACGACTGGGTTTGCATTATTGACAGTATCTGAATTTCCTTCGAAATAAATCCAATTTGCAGCTCCGATCAGTTTTCCATGCATTGGCTCAATTATTTTCATCCAATGACTATTGGGAGACTTCTGTGCATGGTGTCTTATTGCGGATTCCGTGGCTATCTGAATAGATCGCTCTCTTTCCTGCGGGGAGTCATCTTTGAGATAATAGACTATTCGAAGATAGGAATTGAAAGGGTTCTCAAATGCTTCCCAACAAGCTATCATCATTTCTTTAAAGTCGGCTTCGCTTTCGAAATCGAGACGCTGGAGATTCGATTTCATTGTAAGTATGGAATATGACGAAAGTGAAGATGCAGGCCGTTGTCAATCACTGAAGTATAAAAGACCTATGAAATGTTAATTAGGCAGATCCTGAATTCGATCATTAACGTCACCTTGCCGTGGCTATGTATTGATAGTGTCTATTTCCTTATTTTGCAAATTCAAAATTGTTCACCTATACTTTCCTCAGACCCATAATGTTGATCTTTTAAGTTCTCCAACCTTCAACACTTCTTTCCGTATTTGTCTTGACGCGTAAATGACCTTGGATCCACACATCTGGTGATCATCATGTTTTCAATACATCGCAACGTACAGTGCTGTCATCTGATGACATTCTGATTCCAATGTTTGATTATCAGTTCCCTCTTCAACGACAATCAAAACTGGATTCTTACCCACAACCTATTATAATATCAAACTTTGAGCCACAGCTTATTTACTGGAGGACTAAGAATGCTACGTGTGATATGGCTATGAGATATACACAGAGATTGGATACGAATTACATGGGGATTACAAGAGAAGATGTTTACTGGAGTCGATCACTGGCAGCAGAAGCTGAAGATTTTTCAGCTGGTACATGAAGTTACGCCACAATTATTCACATCTCGCTCTTCGATTCTAAGTCCCTGAATGGCTTCAATGAGTCAGAGGAGTTCTGGATGCGCTGAAAAGCAAATGAGAGTATTATGAATACGGCGACGGGAATTTAGATGCTGCATATGTCCGCGGGTTTAAAGGAGGATTGCCTGGGTTAAGTACCACATGATGTGAAGAGGAGAAGAGTGTTATATTATTCAAGAGGTAAGTCATTCTTATTTTTGATGCTAACGGGGTGGGACGTTGGGCCGGACATTTGCCCTCTGGGGAAATGTGCATTTGCATGACTTTTTCCAGGACAGAAATTGGGATTTGAGGAGGAAAATGATGGTGCAGTTTTGTGATGGTTCAAGGAGATGTAGGAGTTTTGATAGACTGGGCTTCACTCCGGTGATCGGAAGCTTTTGATTTCTGTATTTGATTGCTAGTCCGGACTATTGGACATCCTGGGAAAATGTATGAATAGCAGTGCTATCATGATTTGGATGTTGGGGACCTTCATAAGCGAGCGCTTGCTGTCATCATTCACGCTGAGAACATTGTATAAAAGTGCTACATCAATCCAAGCAATATATTGAACCAAATATGGCATGAACAACCTGCCAACCGTTGACCCTAAATCACCTAATATGTAGTACTATCCCACTCCGCGCTTTAAAAGTCAAAACTGGCGTAATCCATATACAACCTCGCCTCTTCCGAGAAATCCATATGCTCCTGCGGAGATTTCAACTCCGGCGGCGAGATGATATTCTTCAACTCTCTGAGCGACTCAATATCCTCCAACATTCCTCTGTCCAATTTATCCCATATAATGCCATAACCCGGTTTTGCCGCTCCAGCAACAGTAATAACTCTTTTATTCGTAATCACATAATCGCATCCCGTATCCCACTGATCGCCTTTGAATTCTTCCTCCAATACCTGACATTCATGAACCAATGCTATCGTTTTCGTATCCTTATTCACAGCCCCTATCGAATATAACATTCCCCATTCTAAATCGAAAAATCCATGACCCTTTCCAAATCGAAGACCTTTGTAATTTATAGCGCCGGTTCCCGTTACCATCAATGGTATTTTTAATCCCTCACTTCGTATCGCAGTCAATGTAATATGCCTCCCATATCTTTCCATTCCATCCAGATAACTCGCAACCTCCCATTTGCGTTCCGGTATTTCCTTAGGATTCAGCAGGAAAAACCCCCGTCTGATACCATACGTTGTACAAATGACAATCTTCCCATCTTTCAGCGCCTGACATCGTAGTTCCTGCAAACAATTGTCGGGGGCGATAAATATCGTTTCGGCATACATATAACAGTCTAAATTAATTAAGTGACGACCTGCATCGTTGGAACCCACGAAATCGCATATGAATGAAGAGTAATCGTGGTCGAACCTTGAGTCTGGGATAGCTACATGGCGCAACTCTTCCCAGACTTTTTCACGGATTTGAGATTTGTGCGTGGAGGCTGGTGGTGTTGAGCCTGTCTGGAGAGGAGGAGGTCGCTGGGGTGCGGATATGGTCATGATAGTCGAGTGAGTGTGATGTTGTTTGAGATTACGATTATTCTGCCGATGAAGGATTTGATTTTGGAAGCGGTAAAGGGTAATAGTGACTAATAAGCTGATAGGAAATGTAGAAAATATAAATGAAATATATCTGAACAATCGTTCATCCGAGTCTTTATTTGACAAATACGGTGTTTATATTTGGGGGGAGGAGAAGATTTAAAGAGACCGAAACTAGATGTCTGGGCGTGAAACTCGAATATAAAAATGTTTCACACATGTGAATTGCAGATCCGGGGAACGAACATGACACGGAAGCTTAAAAGGTTCGTGTCTCAAGCGCTTCTGCTCGTGTTATGATCCCGAAACGTAGAGCATTTAGGGGCAGAGGTTCCTGTTATTTTGCGTATGTTTGATGCATCTGGGATATACTGTTTACTTCCCATGAAGATTGATTCGAACAGTAAGGTGAAATCTTCCATCAAGTCATTCTTGCCCTTCTGTTTAATATAAATTCCATCACGAGGTCCACGGTACGTCCTTCTTTCACGCAATTATGGTGCCACACACTGGATACAAATGCTATATATATGCAGTGCAGTGTCGCCAGGCATTAAAATAGAGTCTCGCACGCCACCACGAGTTGACAAGATGTAGCTATATTTCCAACAAGCATTATGACAGCAAGAGCAACTTTGATTGGGTACATAGGAATTCGGGACTTGAACCCAGTGCCCAATTGTTGCGAAGACCTGGAGGAAATGTCTAACAAATCTGCCGTATACATAGCAAATTGACCCAATACTGTCTGTCACTTGCATGTCCCAATACACAAACTTTTTCGCAAAATCTTCGTCGAAACACGCCACTGCTGCACGCGATTGAAAATCAAAGTGGTGATGTAAATTAGGAGATGGTCGTTATCGTGATTCTAACCCTTTTGTAAACCCATTACTCTATCCATGTGCTGTTATACATTGATTATATTTCCTCATATCATCATGGCCTTTGCCCTGGACCTGGAGGTCCTATTTGACCTGGCATCTCTTGCGCCCCTTCGGCTTTAAGTCTCTGCAAAGTTTGATCGCGCTGGTATTCCATAACTCTTCGCTTTTTGAAATATTGGACCTACGCCACAATCAAGTCAGCACAAACATTCCTTGTGTATATTATTCTCACTGCTCCGATTCCTAGGTACTCTAGCCTAGCCCATACTCAGCTCTCAATGAAGAAAACTCACCCAACTCGTAGCACAATTACTTTCAAATCCTTTGCTCTCTACTGCACACGCTTTCTCCGCCTTGTCCTTCTCCGTAATACTATCAATGATTTCTGCTTTATCCAAGCATTTAAAATAAGCATCCCTAGCTTCCCAGCACCGAGATCGTTGTGTGCGGTCCGGAGCTATAGGTGCACCATCCACGCCAGTTTTGGGGGGTGGTAAGGAAGCTGAGGTTGAGGATGAGAAAAGACCCATAGCGTGCTAATCTTAAGACTCAAATGGGGGTGGGAGATTGGAATTCTAACTGCTTGAACTCATTGATTAGTTTTCAAAGATACGAGGCTACGGCACGGGAGGGCTTTGACTTACCAATTATTGCCTATAGAACGTGATAAATTGAGAGGTCTGGGAGAACCTTGGAAGTTAGCGATCAGCCACAGCCACAGCCGCAGCCACAGCACTTTCATCACAGCAATTCGAACGCACGCTTAAATCCCGGGAAACAGAACACACCCACCAAGACGGCATCTCTTGACCTTGCAGAACACGCCGTCTCATTTTCTTAAACTTTATTTCACTTAGCCAGGCGAACAATTGATTGTGCTTTGGCATTTGCTCTTGATGAACTTCAAATCGTTTGAGATCCTTTCGATTGTTCGATTTTGCTCCTCATGAGTGGCGAGTCCCTATATGTATTCCCAGAGACTAGCTGCCCTTACCTATGGCCTCACTCATACCGAGTCATACATCGATACGTTTCTGACTAGCAATTGGATATACGACGTGGAATCAATATCCATCCATACCAGCCAGATCAAACCAGTCTCACGGGGTCTTGAGGGTTCAAATATCCCGAAATGGATACGCCAGAGTATCGGTAGCCATGGAACAGTCTCAATCAGATCAAGCATCGATACTATAATAGTTTATAGTGCCCCAAGACTCCAAGTCTTTATGGCTGCTAGTATACTCCTGATAGGGGTAATACACTGGCAAGTGTTCCTATTTTAAGACTAGTAGTACAGAGTCTAGAACTCATTTTAGATATCTTGGTTATTAGTTGATCAACGATAATTCTAGAAGAAAGTTACGAGAGTGGCGATCTTATATGATGTGGAACCTAGAATTAGACCATTTGTTTCTGTCTTCCAAGTCTACTTGTTCTCGAATTTGATTTCCAGTTCATTGATCGAATATCATCAATACTATAAGACCAAAATTCGTCACAAAAGCTCCAAATAAAATGGAACAGTAAGTTTGAAGTAACGGACGATCTCAAGGGCGACGTACGAGGCGTGCCCCACGCCATCATCCCCAGTGAACCGAGAGTCCATGGGTGAGTCTCCTTTCGATCCATTCCAGATATAGTCGCGTACTTGACCTTGACCTCTTGTCTTCTACAATCTCCACCTTCCTTGATATCATGAATTATATGCTAAAGAATGTATCTCAATAGGAAGCAGGTAAACTCAAACAATTGATCACGAGGCTATCTCAACAAAGCCGCCGACTTCAACGTGGGACATGATGTATGGAAAAAACCATGGCAATGGATCTCGGTCGCCAGATTCGAGCCCAAATAAAATGGACCTTCCATTATCAATATTGAGACATTTGCCTACGCCTGTGCTCGTCTTGGATCAGCATCGGAAAGTGCTATGGACAAACTGGAAAGCAGGAGCTTTATTGGGTAGCACAGATTCTTCTATGAATGATGAGAGCGCGTTGATCGGGAAGGACTTGGATGACTTGGGTGTCACATTACTAGATAATCGATCATGGGTACCGGTTCTAAGTGAGATAGAGTATCTTCGACGTGGCGGAGCCTCATCAAATGATGAAAATTCGAGTTTTTTCGATGGGTTCCAGGTGGTGGTGAACAATGCATCCAATGCATCCAATGCATCTAAGTCGAATGATCAGAAAAGACGATTTCGGGCTTGTATTGATGCTCTGAATGGAGATCGGGACCTTCATTTCATTCTCACCTTCGAATCACCAATATTCTTGCAAGGGAATCCGATCAATTCCGGGTTAGGATCAACATCATCAGCAAATAAAGTAAAAGAGCCTCAACATAAACCAGCCTTCATAAGGGACGATGTTTTTTGTTCTCTCCGAAAAGCAATCTTTGACAATATTGACACCCCTTCATTCTTGATAACTGCAGATGGTGAATTTTACTTGGCAAATCAAAAAGTTCGAGATGTCTTGGGAGAGTCTATGGGGGGAGAGACTGGCTGCGGAGGGGATATTTTTCGAGACGCCCTACAGGTATGGGATGAGTCATACACTCGTCAGTTACCGCCCGATGAATATTTCGGAAGAGTTTTAGCAAGAACTCAACAACCGTTCGCGAATCAAAGATCTGGCTTTATAAATCCCATAAATGGAGCTCGAATGACAGCCCTGATGTCCGGAGAATGCCTTTATGACGAGGCTGGGATTTACTTGGGATCGATTTGCTGGTGCGAAGATATACAGGAATACGAACAATACTTGATTGAGAAACAAAACAAATTACTACGAAGCCATGAAACTATCTGCGATTTGATGCCACATCTAGTGTGGACTACAAGACCGGACGGTTATTGCGATTGGTACTCCAGGCGGGTAAGGATGCCTTCTAGTAATTGTTCACAGTTCATAAGAAACTAACCTGCGCCATAGTGGTACGAATATACAGGCATGTCTAAGGAAGAAAGCATTGGCAACGGATATGAGAAGATGATTCATCCGGAAGATTTGAGTGCTCTTAGAGAAGCTTGGGCTTATGGACTGGCAAATGGCGAAGAGGGCGAGGTTGAGGTACGGTATCGAAGGCATGATGGGGTATACAGATGGATGCACACGAGAGCTTGCCCACTACTTGACGACAATGGAGAAGTTCTGAAGTGGTATGGAACAAATACAGATATCACGGATATTGTGATGTCACGAATTGAGGCCAAGAGGAACAAGCATCAAATGTTGACAGTTCTGGCTCATGCCGAAGTCAACATGTTTTGTGTGGATAAAAATCGACTAGTAACAATGGCGGAAGGAGCCATGCTATGGGATACCAAAACTGAGCAAACGTGTCAAAGTAAGGAAAACTTGATTGGGAAAAATATTATTGAGCATATGCAAAGTACGCAGGCAGGGGGCATACCGGGTTTGTTTTCCTTATCTATTCCTCTGTGAAAATACTCCCGCGTTACTGATGTGTTCCAAATCCTAGGCCACGAAAATTCTATCCTGGAGATATTGTCCGGAAAGGTCGAAATGGCAACTTGCGAAGAAAAGATAGGAGACAAAAGCTATCGAACACGACTAGTGGCAGATATCGAGCACAGCAGTGATGATGGAGGGCAGGCACCGAAGGTTATCGGATGCTTGGGCTTGAGTATTGATATCACGGATGTCGAAAAACGGGCACAATTAGAGATGGATAACACGAGGTTGATGATTGAAGAACAAGCAGCTAAAGATTCATCTAAGATGAAAAGTCAATTCTTAGCAAATGTGAGTTTTTGGTGGCTTGTGAAGACTTCCGAAACGCTAACAGGATTTGCTAAGATGTCGCATGAGATGCGAACCCCGACGGCGGCGAGTCTCCCTGCTCATCTTTTCCCCCCAAGTTGAATGATCAAAGTATTAACGTGGTGGCATTAGGGCGTGATTGGTATGGTGGACTTACTCGACGAAGACCCAACTTTAACGTCTTCGCAACGCGAATATGTTTCCAGCATCCAACTTTCGGGAAGAGCCCTTCTAACCATTGTGAATGATATCCTCGACTTTTCGAAAATCGAATCCGGTCGTCTCGACATCGAAGAAGTTCCATTCAATCTTTGTTCTATTGTGGGAGAGCTATGTAAATTGCTATGCGTTTTTGCTAACCGAAAGAATTTGGTGTTCAATTATGAAAACGAGGTTGAGGAAAACCTCGAAGTCCTGGGAGATCCCGGGCGAATCAGACAAGTACTATCTAACCTTCTCACCAATTCGCTTAAATTTACGGAAAATGGGTCCATAACAATAAGCGCGAAAGGGAAGAGAATAACGGCTCCAGACAACATTGGAAATGACATAATTGAGGTCAGCTTCGTAATCAAGGATACCGGGATTGGAATATCTAAAACCACCTTGAATAAGTTATTTAGACCTTTTAGCCAGGGGGATTCTTCAACAGCGAGATTATATGGTGGGACGGGTCTAGGTTTGACTATATCGAGAAATGTAAGTATATTCTTCCATTCTTCCAATGCCTTCATTGAAATTCCTGCTTCGAGATACTGATTCAAAGACTAGCTTGCAACTCTGATGTCTGGAACAATTGCTCTTGATTCAGAGGAAGGAGTTGGGAGCACGGCCACATTCATAATACCATTGAAGATATCCTCCTATTGCCGTTACCCCCGACGTTCCAACGCTCCGGCTAAGCTTGACCTTTCTTTCACCAACAAAAAAACTGGTTCGCAATCTCTGCCGAGTACGCCACTGGCTCTTCGACCAAGTCCTCATCGAGGGCAGGTAAAACAACAACTTATAAATGAACAAATCTCGACTAGTGACACCAATCATGTTCTCCCTCCATATTTACGAAACGGAGACAAGAATAAAGAGAGTGGATCAAAACTACCGCTGGGAGAACGAGGCGAGATCCTTGTTCTGGTTGTCGAAGACAAGTAAGTTGGACATTCTCATTACAAGCACATCCTCTTATTTCTTGCTTACAAATATAGTGCCATTAACCAAACTATTGCATTGAAAACTGTCCGAAATCTAGGATTTCAAGCAAAAGCCGTTTGGAACGGACGTGAAGCATTGAATTACTTGAGCAATCCTGGGCCATCCAATCCGAGACCAGATATCATTTTGATGGATGTCCAGATGCCAATTATGGATGGTTATGAGGCAACGAAAATTCTAAGGACCGATAAAGAATACGAAAAGTATCTAGAACATGATATACAGTTTTCAGAAACTGCGAAAATTTTGGCCCCCACGAAACACTCAAATCTGAATGGATCGGAAATGGACAGCCCGGCCAGCACACAAACCAAAACGATTGCTCTCAAATCGAAAAGTAGACTAAAAGATCTTCCCGTAATAGCTATGACGGCTAGTGCGATTCAAGGAGATCAGGAAAAGTGTCTCGAGGCGGGAATGGATGGATACTTGAGTAAACCGGTTGAAAAGGAAAGGTTGGAGGAAACGCTGATATATTGGGCACAGAAGGCAATGAATGTCCGAAGAATTACAAGTCTGGGTGTTTCGAGTTCTGATGGTAAACATAGTAAAAATGATTCTGCCGATTCTGCCGTTGTCATGATGGACGAGGATTCTACTTGGTCACAGGATGGGGGATCGAGAGACGGCGATCTAGATGGCGGAGATGGGAGTGTAGAAACAGCTGGTACACCCTGATCATATTGTGGTCTCATTGTTGCATGTGGACGCCGATTCTGTTGGACTTGAGTTTGTTGTAGTGGGGGTGACTGTGAAGAACTAGGCTTGGTTCTGTGAATGGCGTAGACGTTTGTCGGTTGATAAACATGGATGTTCACGGTTCTTTAGGTGGTCCAAATGGCGCATTTTGATAGCGGCATTGGGCGATTTCTTGGACAATGGATAAGAGCCTTGGGATTGAGACTGGATTGGATTGGACTGGAATGATGATGTAAAATGATTGTACTATACCTTGGCACTGATTGATAAAATATTGTCTAGAGACTACCTGCCTGATCGAGAATGTTATATAGATAACGGATAAAGGGGGGGTTAGAGTTATTAAACGAATATCTTGAATTTTTTAAAGAGACCCCGCTAATGCAGGTGCTCCGGCAGAGATCTTGGCGTATCTGGACGGATAAAGGGGGTCGGCTTTTAGACGAACATTATGAATTGCGATTGCAACTGGTTCCTGGCGTGCCTGGCGTGCCTGAGTCCTTATCTAGTGTGTCAGACATGCATTGACTCAAGATATATAAATTAACTTCCAAGATCTACTGATAGCACGTGTGACAAGTCATGCCTTTATCCATCCTCGGCGCGAAGACAAGCGATCAATATGGTAGAACCTAAAACGGGGGCAAGGTCACCAGGTCTGGAGTACAAGAATCGATGGTGACAGGGGCAAGGGGTAACTGAACCACCGCAAAATTCATCGCCCAAATTTTGGCCAATCAATTTACTTGCCGATATCGTCGTGCATACGCTATCTGAGCTGAGTAGCTTTAAGCTTCGGTCATTCCCAACCTCTCTGTCTCTCATCCTTCAAAACAATCAAACATCATTATCAATTCAATAACAAATCCGTGGTAAACTTCCACGATTCTCTTCATTATGTTACGTTCCACTCTATTTCTTGCAGCTGCATCTTTAGCTACAGGTGCAGTTATTCAACAACCCATTACGGAACCAAGCTCTCAATCTCTCATCAATGAAAAACACAAACCATTGATCAAATCTACTTCCCTCCAAGACGATATAAAGACCAAAAACCTTCTCAAACGGGCAAACCAGCTTTACAAAATTGCAGAGGAAAGTATTCCTGAGTATAACCACCCCACGAGAGTTATTGGGTCAAAAGGTATATCCTCATTCTTTCATCTCCTCAGCTGCTCAAGACATTTTCTGACTCACTCTGTGTAACAGGCCACGAATCAACTGTTGATTACATCTACTCTTCTATTGCGTCTCTTGGCGACTACTATGAAATCTCCAACCAATCATTCCCTGCAGTAGTGGGCAACATCTTCGACTATCGACTTGTACTTGGCGATGCCGTTCCAAAGACTGCCACCCCCATGAGTCTCACACCTCCAACAGCGAACAAAGATTCGGTTTTCGGCCCACTAGTATTGGTTAGCAACAATGGTTGTGATGCGTCAGACTATCCCGCAGGGGTGGCGGGCTCTATCGCTTTGATCCTCCGGGGAACTTGTTCATTTGGAGACAAATCTGCGAATGCCGGTAAAGCAGGTGCCATTGCTGCAGTCATCTACAATAATGCCAACGGATCTCTCAGTGGAACACTGGGTGCACCAAACGCAGATCATATCGCCACTTTCGGTATATCAGACGAAGAAGCAGCTCCATATGTCGAGAAATTGAAGAATGGGGAATCCATTGATGGATCTGCATTTGTTGATGCATTGGTTGAAGAAATCAACACCACAAATATCATTGCTCAGACTAAAGGAGGCGATCCAAATAACTGTGTAATGTTGGGAGGACATTCAGACAGTGTTGAGGCAGGACCGGGTATCAATGATGATGGAACTGGTACTATATCTCTGCTCGAGGTCGCTACCCAGTTGTCCAAGTATAAGGTCAACAATTGTGTTAGATTTGGGTGGTGGGCAGGTGAAGAGGAGGGACTTCTCGGCTCAGACTACTATGTTTCCCAACTTACCGATGAGGAGAATTTGAAAATCCGTCTTTTCATGGATTACGACATGATGGCTTCTCCAAACTATGCTTATCAGGTGTACAACGCCACTGATGCTGCCAATCCTGATGGATCCGAAGCATTGAGAAACTTGTATACAAAGTGGTACAAATCTCATCATCTCAACTATACATATATTCCATTCGATGGTCGAAGCGACTATGACGCTTTCATCAAGAACGGTATTCCAGGTGGTGGAATCGCAACTGGTGCTGAAGGTGTCAAGACTGCTGCCGAGGTTGAAATGTTTGGTGGTAAGGCTGGAGATTGGTATGATCCTTGTTACCATCAACTTTGTGATGATCTTTCAAACCTTGCTCTTGATGCCTGGTTGGTCAACACCCAGCTCATCGCCCATTCGGTTGCTACTTATGCGGCTTCTTTTGAGGGGTTCCCAAAGAGAACTCTGGAAAGCGTTGGTGCTGCTGCAGCAAAGAAAGTGAAGGAAGAGACCAAATATCATGGTCCTCAGTTGGTCATGTAATTTCTTAATAACATTTTTAAAGGGATATACAAGGGACTTCAGAACGTGAAGATATTTGTAATTTTTAGTATGCCTTACATCTTATATAGGTAGACATCGAATTTGATTTTCTTTTAGCTATGATACATCTCAATACCCTTTTACATGCAGGCGATACTTTTTAACCAGAAAGACAAGAATCATAATAACAACTGTATCACGTTGCATGCTTCTTTTGCTTACAGGCAGACGCTAGCGAATTGATGCAGGAGGTCAATCGAATTGGGTACTTGATTGCGGCGCAAATAAATCCATATTGTGAGCGGAGATATTCCCTGAGAACGGAAAGAGAACGGGTGTTTCGGAGAGAGAAAAGCATATGGTATTTCCATTAAAAATAACCATAAAAAGTTTAAGACTTAAAAAGAGGAACGACTACGAGACCGGATCACTTGATAACCCTCGCCCCGCCCCGTCCCGCTACACCTCCCCAGAGCTCGCTAGTTACATTTCATGCGAAGATCCACATAGTGGCAGCGGCGGCGGGTAAGTATCTTTGAATTTCTATCTGCATTTACTCTATTTTAGGAAAATGTTCTATATATAGCCTGTCGCAACTAACAAGATTAGGGTCCAAATATCATCACAGTTGGAGTTGAAAATCTAGGGAACGTAATTTACGACCCAGAAGAACCACTTCAATTATTGCTCTCAATCCAGCAGATTCTTCCAAGAACTTTGAGTGTTTTGCCTTTGCTTCTGCCATTGCTTCCGTTTTTCCATCGTACAGGCTAGTGTGCATGAGCTTTTGGGCCACCATCCTAAGCTTCCTATCTTCCTTATCGAACTTCTATTTTGCAATTATGAATTCCTCGACCCTAAAATCAACTGGTCAACCATGTTCAACGAATAATCTTTTCTGTGCAGATCTCTTGTTATTAGCTATCGAGCAAGCATGGGTCTGCGTCAGGGATTGGATCCACAATATTATGCCCATTGGCAATATAATCGACATAACCAGATGGAGGTGTTGGAGGCTCTGATTCCACGTGAAGGGATCTTCCATCAGACCATGGCATTTCTTTTAAACCTCGGAGGTGTTCTATCCATTGATCTAGCATAATTTTTGCAGGGACAGATTGCAAGTCTAGATAAGTGTTTATGTAGCCTGGTGATTTATTAGGCCACTGGATAATGTGTTTTGTGCGAATATCGTAAACTGTGGTTCGTCCAAATAGACCCGGGGTGACTTTGCAGGAACCAAAGCGGACGACCCATGGTGCAAGATCGTATTCACCTTTCCAGAGGACTTCGCGTGCTTCGGGAACATCATTTGAATGGTTGTAAGGAAGGGTGCCATATGATGTCTCATCATCAATCTCGAGAAACGGAAGATGTCGGAGAAGAGCAATAACTTCAGGCTCCAATCCAATCGTGACGAGCTCCTCTTTGGGAAGGTTTTGATGAGGAGGCCACCTGATTTCTGAGTCTTCAATATATTCTCTACAACGAAGAGGTTTATGAACTTGCGTAACGCCATGTATAAACTCTCCATGTTGTGCTTTGATGGAATCTTCTGTGAAGACTACGCCGTTATGGTTGGGTGCACGAGACGGGACCTCGCAAGATTGAGAGGTAGAAGATTTCTGCCATGGCACCTCGATCTCAATTTCTGGTTTCTTACAAGCCTCTCTTAACGAGAGCATGAAGAGCTTACCAACCTATTAGTAAACAAATCTTGCAATACTAGCGTTGCTTAGACCTATAAATAGGGAATCCTACATCACATGTTGCTCCATTTGAAGCACTGTCGAGCGGGGAACTGAACGGAGATCATGTTATATATGGTTCTGAAAGCCTGTATAAGCATGAAAAAATGAGAAAGCGAGATTGTATTTATTTAGTCTACAATAACGTGTATTGACAGCGAGAAGGTAGGCGCATGGTAACTGAACACAAATCAACTGAATGGCCTATGTTAAGCGTATTTAAGCGATTTATTATAAAAGAATATAATATTAAGTTTTATAAAATCTAAAAAGGAGAAAGTATAATATTATATGAACAGTATGATAATAGATAAACTCTCTTTTTATCTATATATTACTGAATACTATATACGTTTTTAGTTTAGATTAAAAAATATTTTGGGGTTTATTCAAATCATTCAAGTAGGCAGAACACTTCTTAAATAAGCGTGTGCATTCAGCCTCAGATGCTCTATATTCAACAACCTTAGTATTGATTAGCAGGATTTTTGCTAAGCCACTGCTAGGTAGGATAAAGTATGGTCTATACCAAATAGCCCCCACAGCTCGGATCGTTACATGGGTCAACTACCTCCTCGTTATCTACAATCCAATGAATATTTCCAGGCGTATCATGAGGTAGACTTGCAGTCATGATTACTGGTACACATGTGCAAAGCTCTGCATAAGCATTATACCTAATATGATATCCATCTCTTGTACCTTTCCAATGATTTATTTCGAGATAACGAAGTCGTATCCAGTCGTGGCTGAAGATGTATATGAGTTACACAAGATTACGTGTAAGACTCTGATATACTGGGAATATACATATCTGCTTATCTGCTCCATGGAGTTTCTTATTGTCATAGCGGATTTCTTTTATAAGCTCCAAAAAACAAAAGTTCCTAGTGTCAGAAAACTGCAAACTCATACACTACCAAGTCCTCTTGCTACCACATCTTTAATAACAGATTCGGCATGCCAGGCCACCGTTCTCATCACCATCATCCCCCTCACCACAGATCCGAACTCAAACATCGATCCCCTCCAAGCTTGCCCGTGTCTTCGCCTCCACAAGCGGAAGTTCGTTGTCTAACTATTCGCTACGCGTCTTTAGACCACAGGAGCTATCATAAAGACTATAATCTGCCTTATGTTCGCCGCTTTCATCATTCGAATCGAGGCATGGTGACAGATCTTCCGACTAGCGGGGTAGTCGGTAGAAACAATTTGCAGAGTTTAGTGCAGGATAAATTGACGACGTTGATGAACAGAGAGTTTGCGAATTGGTGAGTGCTGTTTTCGCTGCTGGTGCCTGTTGATATGCTTTGAATGGATGGAGTTGGAAATGAGTGATGAAGATGTGGATAGGTATACTGTGGGATGCTGGGATGCTGGGATGGACTTTTGTTAATTTTATTATTTTCTGTAGGAAGTTCATCGGTGCTGAGAGATCACAGGCTGGTCCGCCGAGCAATAGTACACCATGGGGATATAGTGAGAGGAAAGTGAATGTTTATATTGAGAGACGGCAGTGAGGGGAACGAAGAAGTGTCTTTTGAGGCTTTCTACTTGTGTGGATTTTCGAGACGGGGGGTTCTCGTGGTAGATTACTATTGATTCTGAAGGCGCAGAAAGGAACGGACACGTTGATGGATGATTTATGATTTTCTTTTCTGTCTGGCTTTTGGTGTTGATATTTGATATTAGCTCGGCATGGGATTTGGTTTGGATGATTTTGTTGTGCAGCGAGGGTTTGAGCCTGCGATCGTAGTAGATCTCTTATATCTTCTCTTCTCTTTTCTTCTATCATCAGTTCATGTTAATTGATTTTGTTAATTTGATCTGGTTGATGAGTTAGCATTGCAACTAGGCAGAGTTGATGGGTTTTATACACTTCACTTCTATTGGCTGCAGTAGCTAACAATACCTATTCATCATTTCCATCATTATCATATATGGCCATGTTGAACCTACTTCCATCCAACTTTCGAAACTCCAGACCATGAAGATTGACTTCCACAATCTTCAAGTGAGATGCAATATATTTCCTCGAATTCCAATTGGCTTGATCCCCAGTCATCGAAAACGGCCATGTGATACATTTCACCCGGATAAATACTTCGGCTACAACAGCCCGGGGATGAATTGCGGGGTACTTTGGTACTGATGGCTAATATGCGGCATAATCTGCATGTGCGGTAAGATTTCTACATCTCTTCTGATAGATAGGGGATTATATACCTAGGAATGGAATTAGAATTCCTTCACCGGGGTTACCATCTATGAGCTGTCAAGTGACAAGCAGAATTAGCTTTCATTTTGTCGTCATACCAAGCCAAGGCCTATATACATGTAGCTTATCCCTCAGTTTGATAGTTCCTGTGTATACTTATGTATTGATTTCTTTCACCAACTCAAATTCAGCATGGTATTTTTCAATCTATTGCGCAGAGGCCTAGTCGCCTTTGCTGCCACCATCTCAATGATACCCACCGCTTCCAGTGCCGCCAATAACCTAACCCTCATCTCCAATTTCGGCTACAACCCCTCAAACGTAACAATGTATCTCTACATTCCCAGCAAACTCGCTCCCAACCCCCCCATCTTCGTGAATCCGCATTGGTGCCACGGAACAGCACAAGATGCATTCGCCGGCACACAATTCGCAACGCTCGCCGATATCTACGGCTACATTATGATATTCCCCCACTCTCCCAATTCCGTAGATCAATGCTGGGATGTTTCTTCCACCGCATCGCTTACGCATAATGCCGGAGGAGATTCGTTGGCGATTGTAAATATGGTTAAATATGTGCTTAAAACCTACAAAGCGGATCCCAATCGCGTGTTTTCGATGGGTACCTCGTCGGGTGCAATGATGACGAATGTACTCGTGGGTGTTTATCCTGATATCTTCGCGGCGGGCTCGGCATGGGCGGGTGTGGCATTGGGATGTTTTGCCGCGAATAGCAGTGCTGTGGATCTTTGGTCTAATGACTGCGCTACCGGTCAAATTATCAAGACGGGTTCGCAATGGAAAAGTATTGTTGAGGCTGCGTATCCGGGATACGTGGGATTTAGACCAAAGATGTGGGTGCTGCATGGTACAGATGATACGACACTTTATCCGCAGAATCTCCAGGAGGAAATCAAGGAGTGGGCGACAGTGCTGGGGCAATCGAAGACTCCGCTCTCGACGAGAACGAATTGGCCCGATGCGAATTGGACGACGTGGGATTATGGGAAGAAATTTAGAGCGACGAGTGCGAAGGGGGTGACGCATAACATTCCGACGAATGAGAGTGTGGTGATTGATTATTTTGATTTGAAATGTCGCGGTCCTTCGTGTTACTCGAGGGTTACGGCGGGGGCTAAGGGGGGAATTCATGGGTAGTGTGGGGGAAGGGGTATCTTGAATCTACGCAGTGTGTAAGGGGTGCTTATTGTAGTGAAAATAGCTATCATTCACAGTGTTTGCCGATTCATGGGCAAGGCACAAGGTAAAAAGCAAGGCAACAGAGTTTTGAATCATACAAGGATCTACAGAGTGTGCCAAGGGGACTTGTTGTAGCGAGATAACCTTTTCAGCAGTGCTTTCCTAAGGACGAAAGGGCGAAATCCCATTCATAGCGTCTTCTTACACTAGCGGCGTCAATATAAAATCATTCCATACTGCCATTTTCTCATGAAAATCCCATCCCATTTGTATCGAACATCATTTTCGTCTATCTGCAGTGGTGAACTCGAATTAACCACGCCTCCCTTACCTCCTACATTATTACCCTATGCTACCACCCATTGAAACCATACCTAGTAATCCAGAATACATAGACCCAAATAGTATTGTGCATACAATACACAATGTGAAACAATGTCTTCTTCGTGAAACACATATTCTACACTTACTTTCCTTTGATGGTGTGCAAGTTCAACCCAATTCCAGGAACGGCATCCTATCTCTAGCAAACACTCATACATGTGGGGATTTCAATATAGTTCCTGGAACTAGACAATAGCATTTAATACTCATCTCACCAATGCAAACTAGCTGCATATGCCAATGGACGGGTTACTATCTCAGATACTCATCTTCGAAAATCCTGGTCAACCATTCGAGTCGTCGTCTCCGAGAAACATCGGTTTAGCCCATCAAGAGGATTCTATGTATCATATTTATGTTTATCACAAGCAAAAGGTGATACCTTTTTAATGTACCCAAAAATCAAGATGCGACCCGTTCCAAAATAGATCGAACTTCGAGGCCTTGAAGATTCGCATGCGACGTGCAGTAGAGACATCGAGAAACTTTTCTGCCTTTGCCCTCTTTATTGTCGCAACTTCCTTGACATGCGGTTGGCAAATTATGGGGTGTTGTTTCTCCCTGCAATGTGGTGTTTGATGTTTCGATGGGGTGACGCGCCTTGCTTGACTATCACGTTCTGCCGCAGATAAGTGATACCAGTGAGGAGGAATTACTTATAGGGTGATTTCTATCGATGATGTCTTCCACCAATATTTGATGATCTTTTGTATCCATCTCAAACTTGCAAACTGATTCCCTTTAATCCGTAAAGCTGAATTATATACACCGGATATCTGGCAGGCGTCTTTTCTTTTACCTTCAGCCCAGATCAGCAGTGCATCACAGAACCCAGGTGGCAATCCCGTCGATTCTTCACATATTAGCCTCTCTAACTCTCATCCTCCTTATTCTCGCCTCAAAAGTCAAGTCACAATCAATCATGAGGTCCCAGCAGAAGTCACTCGTGCTTCGCATACCTCTTCCCAGATGGACCAATTCCAACCGACCAAAGCTCCGAAGATTTCATCATCTTTCCAGAGCCGGGAGAACCTACCAAATATATATTCGACAACAGGTGCAGATTCATCGCACTCGATTTGGTTCTTCTTGCGTTACCTCTGGCTACTACCGCAAGCTTGGTTTACCTTAACGTGCAGTCTGTTTATTGGAGAGATACATAGGCTAATGGCACATGGCAAAATACCATGCTGAATAGCCTTCGATTTGCGGCCAGACTTCATGAACTCTGGATCGGTTCTTCTGTGGCTTATATGGTATCCCATTTCATTGTATTCATGCTCGCTAAGGCCAAAGGTGTACCCTTTGGGCTACTTGGCGCTGGTCTTCAGATTGGAGACCTCAGGTTCTTCACCCGCAGGTCATTTTGGTCATCTTTTGAGTGTTCTCACGAACGGAAATTGAGCATGTATCTATTTGCCCTGTTCGTGGTGTTCTATTCCAACCTCACAGCTCTTGCTGGATCATCCTCTGCTATTGCTATGCGACCCAACCTCGATTGGTGGCAAATGACCAATAACACCTTGGTATTTCGCTTCCCGACCAAATTCGAGTTACGGCCTATAAACCTTTTAGAACCACTGGCTCCACCACTCTTGATGGTCAACTGTTCCAATTACGTAGAATCACCTGCCAATTTTGTATGTCCAGCCAGTGGAGCACAATATATCAACACTTGGCTGAATAATTTAGGCTTCAATGTTCTAAAAGGAGAATCAGCGAACATGATTTTTTATAACGCATACACAAATACGCGCAATTTTCTTGCCTCGGCTGGAATGGATTCAGGTCATTCTTACACAAACTCATTATCGGTTGTCCCTCAGCTCGCTGTGGGCGCGATATGGAATACCTAACCTTGGCGGGAGCCTATGAGTCTTTCACATGTCACCCCAAGTTCTTGTCTCATTCCACAACTACCCTGAAACAACCGATTGTTCAGGTCAAATGCAATATCTATGCTCAGAGTAATTTTACAAGTGCTGGTAACAATACAGCAGGTGCTCCATTATTTCCTGTCTCACATGGAATCATGAAGAATACATCGATGTTAAATGAAAAAATAGGATATGCAGTGCCAAAGAACTCCTGGGGCGGTATCGGGAATCAGCAAGACTTAGATCTAACCTAGATTGACCTTTACAAAAACTATAGCGGATCCGCATCGATCGGTGGAATCTTCATGCTTCCGATGTCTAGACGTGTATACAATGGAACGGGTAGGTCTACCGTCCAAGATACATTGATCACACTATGTACATTCGATTCAAAATGGTTGCAAACTCGAGTGAAATATGGGCCTACAACTAGCGATATTATCAACGATAATTTCACCGACTCTTCCACCTCCTCAGGGCTACGAAGCCTTATAAAAAACGCACATCAAGAGCGGACAAAGAAGAAGCGCTCACAATTTAGCGATGTCATTAACATTACTCCTGGTTGGGCCGCATATACGAACATAGTGGTTCCAGGAGTTCACTTGACGCAGAACTTAACACAAGATTTGACTGTAAGCCATATAAATGGGACAATGCCTCAAAAAAATAGATTACAGGCTCCAATGATTAATTTTAGCGGTGGTATGCATGCCACGCCTACCTTTCCCTCGCCCGCACCAGCGCATAATCTACCCAACGTCACCTTTATTCAAGGTCTACTGAACAGATTCTTGGTTCTCGGCGCAAATGGAACACTTTCTTTAATCAATTTCCAGTTGGGGGACCTAGTCCACCCAGCAGTGCTGCTGACATCCAAGGCTTCATCTCACTTTATGCTGGTGTATTCATGACAGATGCTCTTGCGCGTTATGGCTCCCAGAGCGTCATATCTGATGGTAATTCCTTGTTTGGCCATAATAACACTTTGAAGCGACTAACATCATTGAAGAATAAACCCGAGCTTTTCAAGGGCTGGCTAGAGTGGAAATTTGAGATTTGGCGTAGAGGATATAGCTACGGGATACGTGGAATCATAACGAATATTGCATTAGCACTTCTAGTAACTCATTGCATCTCGACGCTGGGGTTCATGGTTACATGTGTTTTGCTAGGTGGAGAACAGTTGCTTGGAATTCGATAGGAGAGTTTATTGCTTAGACATTGAAATCACGCAGTACAGAAAAGTTTCGAGGTACAGATGCGGGGGTTGATTTATCAACAACATGGGCGCAAAATATGAGGACAAGGGAGATTGGTACTGAAGAGCTCGAAATACGGTTTGGAGAAGATGGATGTGAGGAAGAGAAGGGAGAGTGGTTGGGTGTAGTGAAGGTGGGGGAAGGGTCCGGAAGAGGGGCTGTGAAACCGCATCATTTGAAGAAGAGTAAATAATTTACACAATTTTGAATGGAAATACTGTCAATAATGATGAGAAAGGAATAATTACAACATGTTCTAAGTCTAGCGATTATGCACTGCCCATATCAAGCTTCATGACAAGTGCGTTGAAATCATGCAGAGATAGAGAAATTTGCGCCAACCATGACGAAATGATGAAATGTCAGGAGGCCTTTTTCTAAAGGCTTGTTGTAAATGTTTCATGTGGGCATGAGGGTTCGGTAGCTTGTGGTGGTGATTGGTCGGAAGATAATGTTGGACATGTGCCTTCTCATTGTCAATGAGTAAGCTGTTGTCACTACCTGAAGAGACTGTATGAATTGTCCGTACAAAGCGAGGATAACTCCACCTCAAGTTCAAGTTCAGGGACCACATATTGAGCAATATGTGTATTGTTAATCATAGCTAGATTCATGCCGTGGTGACTGGGTTCCAGCGAAATTGTCCATAGCTATGACTACCGGGCATACGAAACTTGTTCCGAACATCGTGCGGGTGATTCTAAGAAGCAAAATCCTTTGCATCGAGATAGAATGAGTGAGATTGGTATACATGTAAAACGAAGGGCAGACAAACCTCATGCGTCTAGCCCATTGTGTTTCACAATGTTATTTATGTCCTCTGAACTGGCTGCTTGAGGTACGTACGGAAATTCAGGAGTGACTAGCTCGCCGTTTCCTTGAAAGTTATCGTAAGGGGCTGATCTTTTGTTGATCAAGAAAAGCTTTCCCCGGATTCTAGAAGCAGCCCAAAATCATGCATAAAAGTCAAAGCATAGTGTATATCCCATAGAGTATGATTTGGATGAACATTTGTGAAATCTGTTCAGGTACGGAAATCGCTCTCTTTACGTCTTCATCCTCATTCTTTGTTAGGCTTGTGTCGAATCGAACATTGAATCTCCACCCCCTTTTCTTCTAAATTTTGCCAGCAAGGAATCTGGTTCTCAACGTCGGTACGCAATACGCACCCGTTCAAGCCGAAATCACGAGTTCATATATCATCTAATCCCTGCAATGTTCTCGAATATTTGACAGCTCCACTTGGGCCGGGCCCAAACCAAGGACTGAGTTGCATTGATATACTTCGACCAAGGTTTATCTTTGATTGATTTAGCTTCAATCTCAATGGCATGCTGTGGATTTTCATGCAGCAACCGGTTCTTGAAATCGGCGAGAGGGGTGATTGAGGGTCAGCCCTAGGATTCCCCAGCCTCAATGGTGAGCTGTTCATCCTAGATGTAAGGCTCTGCTTCGCTCGACTCGCTATGCAGAAGGAAAAAGCCTGATGCTCAGCCTTAAGCATCTCTTACACCGTTGAGCATGAATGCATTGCAGGTTCGCATCGAGATGCTCGATTGTTTCCTGTCGGGTCAAATTTCCGGAAGAACATGGGTAAATCCCCAAAGAGTGGAATATTGGACATATCTTGCCTGTGTCGATCAAAGCTTAGCACATTGTTCCATCAGCATTTTTTGTTACCTAAACAATGAGATAATTGGAAGGGGGTATTTTCTTTTCCCCTCTCGTTGATGAAAGCTGAGAAGGAAGAGAAGGTAGACCCGAAGCCCCGATTACGATGCATCTGCGGGATGGCGTACGTTGGAATTGTCTTGCTGTTAAAAAGGTAAACGAGCTCAGCTGCCCACTGCCCAGTACCTTCCTGTCGCTCAAACCTATCGCTCAAATATTGTAAGTTGCAAAAAGATGAAGATTGTTAATTTACATCTCCTATAAATAATAATTGTCTCAGGAGATTTGACCAGTAAGGAAAGAGCCGCGTGTATTGATTGTATATATGCTTAAAGGCAAATTGAGAAGGAGATGAAAGTTCTTGGTAATCTTGGGATGAGATCCACATGTTGCCACGATTTGTCCACCCAAACGCTCAGCCATTTCATCTCATTTACGCCTGTGTTGGTGAAATTCCCTTGGACCTTGGTTGATGTTGTTTTGGGTGTCTCGGGGGGAGGGGGAAGGGGAAGGGGAAGGGGAAGGGGAAGGGGAAGGGGGGGGGAGAGAGAGAGGGGGGTCTTTCAGTGAATCAGTGAATCAGTAAATCAGTGAATCATTTTGTCAGGGAAAAAAAGAAAAAAAGTAGAACAGGGGAATGAATGAATAAGTTCAAAAAAAGTATACCGTACGGATAACTGATGCTCTACATATTAACCACTTTCGCTTTGCTCGCGAGTCGCGATTTGGTAAACATACTCCTTTCTTTCATTCTTTCACTCTTTTTACTTATTATTGCTGTGTAATAATATTCCTGATAATCCAACCTTGAATTCTGAATTCAAACAAACACTCGAGGTCTTTCTCTCAATAAATCGTATTGTTGTCGAAAGCAGGAGGGGAAAAGAATCATCCCTCAAAAGTAAAGGCTTCTTAAAAACATTCTGCGAGCACCATACATATATTCTCACCCAGCATTTATACACCAAGAATATTTTGAAACTCTATCACGCAGAAACTCTCCTTCAAGATCCCCAATATATCAAAGTTTCTGCATCATTCCGAGGAAAATCGTCCCGCCACAAGCCTGCAGGAAATCAATCCCTCGGAACCCTATCATCTCAAGACCACCATGTCATACTACAACAGCGCTTACGATGATTACAACGAAGAGAACCATGGGGAATACCAACCTGCTCGAGCAGGCTGGAAACAAACTTCACCAACCGGACAAGGTATGTGGTAGAGTTTTTATTGTAATCTATTCAAACCCCAATGCCAATATCAATATCGGATAAAGAGTACGAAAGGGGACATGGCCGCTCAAATCAAACGTCATCAAATTCGGGAGGTGTTATAAGAAGAAAAGTATAATCAATTGTTACCAGATTTGCCCTTGTTTAGCTCATCCGGGAGGGGGGCGCATGGCACAGTCGCAAGCTTGCTTTCCCGCTGATGTCCGGCTGTGACACTACGTACATAGGTAGTAATCCTACATACCAGCCCAGCTAGCATTTGCAGCTTTCTTATTTCTCTCTCTTTGCGCTTCACTCACAACATTCACAATATCTGCCACGACTTGCCGGTTGCAAATCTTTGCACCATCGAAAAAAATATATCTTGGAACCTAGCTAACAATCGTATTTCGTTTTTAGCAGCATATCAGCCTCCTCCTCGCGGTGCCAGTCTGAATAATCCTACAACTCCAATTTCCGATAACAATATGAACGGTTATGACGGTTATGACGGTTATGGTGGGGGCTATCAACAGAACCCCAATCTGGGGGCGACCTTCTATCCAGGAGGAGGGGACGACTTTTATATGCCTCCTACTAATGTAGTGTCTCCAATGCCACAAAGGTACGGTTTAATCTTTCATTGTTCGATTGAAGAAAGGAGAATGGCTCATGGCTATGGTGTGCCATTCTGCCACTTTCATCCCCAAAAACATCAATGTGGGATGAGCGCCCATTAATGAGAAGTATAGAATCATGCCAGAGGTGCCACATAACATGCAAGATAATCTTGCCAATCTGGAACTAAATTCAGATGGACGAGTAAGCTCACATTCAAGTGTTTCTAGTCAATCAATGTATAATGACAATTCACAGCACACCAGCGAATCGCCGAGGTCGAGTTACAGCAATCGAAACAGCGGACCGGGCTACACAGCGAACTACGAACATACAAATGCAGCTATATATCAAAATTTGAAGGGGCCCTATGGCGCGCCACGAGTTCAGCCTGATTCCCCTAGGTTCTCACCATTTCCAAAACCTCGAAATGCAGGTCAGAATGTACCTTTATCGGATGAGGATAAAGAGGAAGTTTTGGAGAGAGCGAGACCCATGGTTTTGAAGTCCAGCGACCCAGAAATGCAGTTGGCATGGGCTCAGGACGCACTTTCTTGGGTAGAGGTAGCCAGTTCTACTTATGAGCGAAAGAATGACGACTCGCGAGCCCCAACGCCCAAAATTGAACATCAATTACGAGTTGATGCTATAAGCATCGTCAACTTTCTCGCAGAACAGCAACATCCAAAGGCAGAATTTATGAAGGCGATGTGGCTAGAGTTTGGTAAATTTGGGTATCGAATGGATAAAAAGGAATCGTTCCAAGGTTACCAGCGAGCTGCACAAAAAGGATACGCTCGAGCAGAATACCGAATCGGAATGCAGTTCGAGAATACCATGAACCCTACAAAGGCCGTTGAACACTATCAAAGAGGTGTATACTTGAAGGATTCTGCGGCAAATTACAGGCTTGGAATGGCTACCTTGCTCGGACAATGTGGCATGCAACAAGATTATGCAAGAGGTATAGATCTGATACAATTTGCAGCCGACACGGCGGACGAGAATGCCCCTCAAGGTGCCTACGTTTACGGAATGTTACTCGCTAGAGAGTTGCCAAACATTACCATGCCTGATGAATATTTACCATATGATTTGAACGAGGCCAAAATGTTCGTAGAGAAGGCCGCTTATCTCGGATTTGCCAAAGCACAACTCAAGATGGCTCAAGCTTACGAACTTTGTCTATTTGGCTGCGAATTCGACCCCGCACTTTCTTTACATTATAACGCCCTCGCTGCCCGACAAGGAGAGCCCGAAGCCGATATGGCCATCAGTAAATGGTTCCTTTGTGGTTATGAGGGTATTTTTGAGAAGAATGAAGAATTGGCTTATACATATGCGCAACGTGCGGCTGAGACAGAAATGGCCACAGCTGAATTCGCCATGGGGTATTTCTATGAGATTGGAATGTATGTCAAGAAAAACCTTGAAATAGCTTCACAATGGTATGATAAGGCTGCCAAGCACGGTAACCAAGATGCACTGGGAAGAATCGATAGCATCAGAGCAAATCACACACTTTCCAAGGGTGACCATGGAGCGGCGATTCAACGTATCAAGTCAACGCACGGTTCCCGAAGAGGGGCCCGGCCGGAGAGATTTACGCAAGCTAATGCTCCACCAATGCCAACTATGGCAGAAGATTACTCCTCACCAACTCCTCCTGCGCATAGTCAAAAGCCTAAGGTGAAAAAGGGTGCACCTGCGGGTATTCGTCCAATCTCCATTGCACCATATCCAGAAGATGATATCAGTCCTGGGTATCGCGGTAATGGTAACCCTCCTAGATCTCCGAGATATCCTCCACAAGATGGACTGCGACCATCAACCTCAAGCTCAAATCCAGCATCAGATCGACCATCTTCTGCTTTTGGTATTCGCTCTCAGCAACAGCCACCTCATTTGGGAATTACTCATCAAAACACAGAGCCTATACGATCATCATCTCCTATGGGTCAAATGCCTTCACAAGGTCGCAATCCATCACCCAACCGCGCTCCAAACATTCCTCCAATGAGCTTCGAATCTGGTTACCAGACTCCACAGCAAAGACCTCCAACTTCTGGATCAAGGCCCGGAACTGCACAATCTGTCCAGTCGTTTCAGTCTGCACAATCTGCATATGGTTCCAGACCAGGACCTGGCCAGAACGTCTTACCACCACGAGGCGCTTCCATGACTCCAGTTTCGGCTGCCTCCTCTACAGCAAGCAGAAAACCAATTGGCAACCCAATGTCCCCGCAAGACTCGAGACAATCTTCTGTCTCGTCAGCTCCTACTACTCCCGCTCCTACTCCGGTTGCAGCTCCACCAAAATCATCTGCTCCTGCTAAGAAGGGACCTGCCACTTTTGAAGAAATGGGTATTCCACAAACCAAGAGTGAAGGAGACTGTGTAAGTTTGAGATTCATTATAGCTTTGCTTGGCATGGTAACTAACAATTTTACAGGTCGTTATGTAACTACGCTTTATAGTTCTAAGGGATTGAAATTTGGGAGGGATTTACATAGCATGATCATTTGCCGACCAGCATTGTCAGTCAGCATTGTGATTTTTTTATTCGAGCATAAGTTTTTGCGCATATATATTTTTGGCGCATGCATAGCATATACTTAAGTAATATGCATTTCATTCGGTTTGGAGATATTTTGGACCTTGCAATGTGTAATAGACTGAGGATTCCATAGTAAGTAAAGATAGAAGATTTTTGATGGGTGATATCTTAGGTAGCTGGGGAAGGGGATTAAAATAGGATTTGAACTAGGAAGAGTGGCATTTCTTAGTAGAAATAATATGATACCCTTTACATAATATCCTTGGTATTCTATCTCTCTTGCTTTCTCTCTATCTCCTTCCCTGTTCCTCGGAAAGAGAATGTTTTCTATCTTTTCTTGGTGACTTAAGTGAAGTGGAGTGAAGTGAAGTGTGAAAATGATGGATGAATGGATTAGGGTTAGCGTGGTTTGGAAAGGATGGAACTGGAGTTGATGTGAGTGGAGTTGACTTTTCCTTGCGCATTTGTTTTACTTGACTTCTACAATTTACGAAAAGGACCGAGTTTCTATATATTTTGAACTTTCAAGTTTGAATGAGAATACTTTGAATTTAGTTATCTTTCTCTTGTGGTCTTATAAGTTACGAATTGATACTTTTCTTCATATTATACGCATACCTACTCAATATCTCATACATCTTTCTCTTCCTTCTTTTTCGGAAGAGGGTTAGAGCGGGTAGCAGAGAGAGAGAGAGAGAGAGGAACGATCAAATGCGCATCTCTATTCTCTTCTTCCATTATTTTTGGGTTCTCACGATTGATACCCTGAAATTTGTTTTTATTCTTGTGACGATCGCTTCTCTTATCTTGAGATTGTTTGGTTGAGGTGGTGTGGTGAGTTTGAAGATTTGAACCGTGTTACACGTCTTTGATATAGAGAGAGGGAGAGGGAGAGAAGAGTGGGAGAGAGTCAATGCGTATTTTCATTTGATTTGTGGGATTCGACTGTTGATACGTTTTTATCCTCATTGTGGTTACATTTGTGGTTTTGAGGTTGTGGGCTTGAGATCTGAGAGATTTGTAGAGGTCTTCGAAGCAAGCTGAGAATTCATGTCGCCTCATACATTCAGAGAAATTTTCATCCATTTGATGATTATTTTCCATATTGTTATATTGGTTTTTGTGGTTGTTATCTTGCGTGCGATTCTAGTGCAGTTGCGTCAGTCGGCTTGTCGGTGTAAGAGGAATTGAAGTGGGAGTTGTCTGTCACTTCTATCTTCTCACTTCAAGACTTTGAAGTTGCAGCCAGGTGGATTTACAAGTTCTTCATATCTCTCATTCATAATCATTACGAACACAGATACTCGACAATCCTCTTCACGACTCGGCCATATCAGATATCATTCACCTTGATAACCAAGATTTTCAATTCTCAAATAATACACTAAAACAATCATCACCATGCCACCCAAACGCAAGAAGTCTCTCGTTGAGTCCCCAACCGAATCTCCCACCCCAGATGAGAACTTCGACGCCGTATCCGTTGCATCCATTCCTTCTACCGCATCCGCTACACCCGTCAAACCTAAAACTAAGAAACCTAAAATTGAGAAAGGAGAAAAGGTCGAGAAAGTTAAAGCTCCTCCTAAAGCAAAAGCTTCTATTAAAGAAAAGGCTTCTCTGAAAGATAAAGAGGTGAAAGCAAAGGGTTTGACTAAAGAAGTTAAGGAGACGAAGGAAATCAAAGAGGCGAAAGATACTAAAGTTATTGGTAAAGATGGTAAGGAGAAAGTAAAAGCTGTGACGGGCGATGAGGCACAAGAGGTATTGTTGGAGTATTTGAGTAGGGAGAATAGACCTTTTAGTGCGGGGGATATTAGTGGGAATTTGCATGGGAAGGTATGTGCTTTTCTCCTTTTTCGTTTCGTCTATCTCGTTACAGTACCCCATCCCTTCCCATCTCATCTCATCTTCTCCTTTGTTTTTTCCTGTTTCATACTACATCCACCCCACCATAGAAATCCCAATACTAACACCCAACCCCCCACCAGGTAACCAAAACCCTCACCGACAAACTCCTCAAAGAACTCTGCAACTCCGGTCTCATCAATGGCAAAGGTACGAATGGCGATGGAAAAGGTTCACAATGGGTCTACTGGGCCCTCCAAGATCCCAATTCTTCTCTCTCCCCTGAACAACTCGCAGAAATGGATTCGCAGATTCAAGTTCTGCAGGATCGATTACCAGAATTGAAAATGGATGCGAGGAAATTGAATATACAACTTGCGGGGATGAAAAAGGAAATGGGGTTCGGGAATTGAAGGATGGGATTGAGAGGTTGGAGAAGGAGAAGAGAGAGAAGGAAGAGAGGTTGAGGGGGTTGAGGGAGGGGAAGGAGGTTGTGAGAAAGGAGGAGGTGGAGAGGGTGGAGAGGGAATTTGCGTATTGGGGAAGATGAGGGGGGTTAGGAAGAGAGGGTTTGAGGGGGTGGAAGAGATGCTGTTGGAGGGAATGTCTAGGGAGGATATTTGGGAGAAGGCGGGGATTGAGGGGGAGGGGGAGGGAGGGTTGTAATTTGATGGTGGATGAGATGTTCAAGAGATGAAGGGGGATATTGCTTGTTGGTTTGCTTGAAGATAGATTTTGAGTGGGGAAAGGATAGGAATGAAGACAAGGGGCGCTGTATTCTGAACATTATTGAGGAAACAACGAGTGGTGGGTATCAAATGGCATCTGTGGATCATGAAGTCAGACACTGTCTAATACATAGCTAAATTTGGCATCGCTGCTGTACACATATGAAGCAAAGACAGGAGGTCAATTTTCATATCCATGACATTGACATTGACATGAAGATTACTATTCTATAAACCCTTATTATATTGATAACAAGTGATATATTCTTTCCTCCTTCCAAAGACAAGCGTTTTACATATCAAGACGGTATAAATCATCTAACATCTGGTCATCGATATATATGTATATATTGATCCTTTTCATCTTTTTAGTTCATGATGTGCTTGTTTGATTTTCTTTGAGTATGTTGAGGTGATTCGAACTTATCATACCTACCCAAGGAGCTATAGATGGATACCAAATAGTTTCGATGTGATTAAAGCTGAGTAGGATTATATAGATATCTTGTTGCAACTATATTGCAGGCTCTCTCGGCTTTCGCGTATTACTAGTACGCTGTTGGTTGAGAGTCGTATTTTCAGGATGTGCTATGAGGGTTTGCTTCTTCTGTTCTGTTTCATAGGGATGGATGTTCTTTGGACTTTTTTGATTTTCTTCTGGGGGGACTATAGAGTTGATGAGCGTGTGATGAGAAACTGGGGAGTATGAGGTGGAATAAATCCTAACGATATTGATATTGATTCTGATGATATAAGTTTGTGGATAGTGATATATGTGGGTGAATATACCGACTAAATGTATCGGACTGGGTTGGCTATCTTAGATGGCAAATGATAGATGGTAACTTATTAGAGGCCACGAGGGAAATGTCGATTGTGTAAATTCTGCTTGGATAGTGGAAGATCGGGATGGAGTATAGAGATTCAATTTGAACGTCGTGGAGTTTGTTATCTATAAGAATGAAGATGAGGATAAGAAAATTGAAGTGAGATCATTTGAGGAGATGAAATCGGCAAGTTGAAGAGGAAAGTGATGAGGAAGTGGTGGTGTTATGAGAGTGAGAATTGATTTGGATTTTGGATCGTTGGGATGTTATAGATGAGAAGAAGAATGGGGGGAACTTGGAAGAGGTTGGAAGAGAAGGATCACGGGACTTGAATGGTATGAGTGCGTTAGAAAAGGGTGGGCGAGTAAGTAGGTAGGATGATTAGAGGGGATGGACAAGGAGTGTTGAAGATGATTGTTAGAAAGTAATTCGGGGTTTGGGATGGATTGGATATCTGAGTTGAGGTGAGTGTTTAAAATGTACTCAATGTTTGAGATACTTTCAATATTCAAAATGTATTCATTGTTTGAAACGTATTCAGTGTCCAATATGTATTCAACATCTAAAGGGTATTCAATAATTAAAACTCATCCATTTACCCAAAGAGATTCCACTATCAAAACCCATCCATTTCCCCAACAAGATCCAGCACCCAAAACCCCTTCATTATCGAACCACGACTCAGACAATCAAAACTCCGAGTCTCTCATACCTATACCGAGCCATTAGGAGGGGGTAGGATGTCAGTTGCAAAGGCAAGAAGGATGGATGATATCGTCAAATGGTGATCGTTCATTCCCCATACATTCATCAATCAAGATATCAACACCAGCAAGATCGGAAAGAGTGATAGAGATAAGTCCTCTATTTATTGTTCATTTTTCTTCTCTCCTCTTTCATTTCTCTTCTCTTCTTTTTGAATCATGAATCGCAACCCCTTGATCAAAGCAAATTTTTTCTTGATATTTCTCACTATCAAAATGAGTTACGGAACCTTTTTGGCCACTGTGGCTACCATTTTCTCTGTTTTGGCAGCACTGTTTGTTGCCCCTTTCGCTTTTGACAGAATGGGTTGGCGATTTCCCGGGGCTCCGCCTCTTCCTCTTCCACCGCCGCCACCGCCACCACCACCATCTCCTCGCCGCATTCCATTCGCAAAGGACTCGCCAGAAATGATGGAGCTTGTTCAACTTCGGGCTGACGCTCGAGTCATTCGCCGCCTCCTCGGGGTCATTGGTCTTGGCACCATTGTCCAAGCCCAGGATAGGACAACCGTCCCTCTCTCCGAACTCCTCGATGAGTTCGAGAGACTCTCTCTCTAACTTCTCTTACAACTAATATCACTATCCTTATCATATCCTTACTAATCACAAACATACTTATCACCAGCGTCAAGCTTGCACTTCTCCGCAGTGCTGGTGACTAGTAACCTTCGGGTGAAGCCAAGACAAGCTTTGCAACCATCTAGTTTTTGTTTCTTGAACTAACTTCCTGTCTGCAGTATAGCTCTCTGAATCGCAAGAATACGGTTTTATTGTCCGGTGTCAACAGCGAGTCGACTTTGAAGTCCTCACGGCCCTCGAAAGCACAACATAACACTCCAGCCTTCGGCGGAACCTCCATTTCATCTTGAGATGCCAAATCAGTCTCAACGCTCACTCTGCCCTCAAACAGATCTCTCCATCTTCTTGTTTGCGTTCTTTTAGTCGGCGGAAGATGTCGACTCCACAATTCCCCCTCCAGCTCAGATCCCAAGTCTATCCATCTAGTGAAGAATCTCCCCCATCCAAGACCTTCGCAATACAAAATATCAATCCTGTATTCCGTAGGACATTTCTCACATCTCATTACCCCAGATCCGACGGCATCCAAGAAAGAACAGGGCGACAATCTGATATGCGTACATATATTCTCTGTTGGAGGGAAGGGACTTCGAAATGCAGTGTGTTCTTCACGGCCATCAGAAATAAACACACTTTGCATTCGATGCATCAGGTGTCCTTGAACAATACGACATTCTTCTCTATATTGTCGTACATACTTTCCCCAGTCAACCATCATCACGCTCGGACTGGACATCATCGTCACCAGTTCCGTACACGCGGGATTCTGATGCGCTCTTTTCAAAGCCATCTTGACTGCAGTAGAACCAAATAAATTACTAACTATTCTACTAGATCTCCCCCGATCCTCAGACACACACGCTGGAAAACGTAACCGGTCGTACTGATGGGTTCTATTCCCAGCACTGTAAGTTGTACAGCAATATCTGAGCAAATTCTCCATATTGTGCAGTCGATTGCAGGTAGCACACGCGACGCAGTTTGGTAAATCGAGGGCTATAAGATTTAATAGTGCTAGTGTGTGTTCGGTCGAGGAAGCTATTCTTGAGAAGTATTCGCTTCCGAGTTGTTCTTCTAGTTTGAGACAGGAAAGAGAAAAGATTACTGCGGATTCGAGAGGAAGATAGCCCATGATATGTAAGAGGATCTCTACTGGTATATCTTTTAGGATGGAATCTAATAAGGCATCGGGTCGCGGTGAAAGAGTGGGTTTCTGAGGCTTTCGGAATAGGAAAAAGAGCTTTTGAAAGGTATTCATTGTGATAGATATTAGGTAGTGTGTTACACAATGGAAAGTTTCGAGAATGTGAGGAATGAAATTTTGTTATGTATAAAAGTAGGAGTTAAGGAAAATGAATGGATGAAATATATATATCTGTTCTCTTTCTTTCTATGACGAAGGATCTAGTTTTAGCCTCGAATATAGCTACTCACACGTGATGATTGATCAACTGTCACTAAGTTTCTTCAAAGACTATCTGGTACTTGAAAGGGAGATACTGATTAGAGGCCACGTATACTTTACCTCTCCAAATAAGAATGCCGATAAGAAGAAGGGCTATCACGCCATTGGGCAATGAAGTTTCAAATTTCATAGAGCTCTTCCCATTTTTTTTGGTAGCATGAATAAGCTTGGATAGATAGTTATATGAAGTGATATGCGACTATCATTCCTGAAATTTCGGAATGATGGGATATAGCCCTAACCCTAACTCATTCTACTCGGGTATTACTAACATGAAACCCACAACGGTGCTGGTGTACATTCTACATTCTACATTCTACATTCTACTGCCCGTTCCATGACTTAGGAAAGATTAGAGAATCTGGTGTGTAGTTATTAGTATTCAATGGATCTAGGTAGCTTATGTAGTTTTATACTTCGTGACTTGATAGATATGATTTGATATAGTAGTATAGAGATTTCGAATATAGATGAAGGGTCGGAGAACTTCTTATTATAATTCTTCTCCTTCTTCTCCTTCTTCTCCTCTTTATAATATCTGATCTAGCCTGTGATTCGATTGATGTAAATACCCTACTTGAGTACTTTCGTTTAATGTATACCTGGTATATATACCCATCACAGACATCCCTACATTACAGCAATCCATCACAGACTTCACAAATATCCCTCCATCCCTCACAGTACCCGCAACCCTACCAAGTCATAAGGTTAGATGACCTCCAATGAGTCTAAATTCAATTCCAATTCCAAATCCTCATATCTACCTACCTAGGTACTCAGTATTATATGAGATCATGTATATACTCGAGGATAGAACGTGAGAAGCAAATCCGATGAAAATAAGCAAATGAAATGACTTGAAATAAAAGCAAGGAAATGAAAGAAAGTGATGTGAAATGAAAGTAAATGAAATAAAGGCGGAGATATAGAAACCTACCTACCTAGTGTCTGGCATATACAATAACGTGGTTTATCAGCATGTAGGCTATATCATCATATAGACTACTTCGAAAATGTATTAAAATCGAGGGTTTTTTTGATAATTAGATTTTAAAAACTAATTATTAATTTTAAAAAGAGAAATTATATTAATTAAGAATAAAATAATAAGATTTTCAAAATCTATAATGTATATAGATATTTTTGTTATAACGTAACGTATGGGGAACTCGGACATATGGGGAACTCGGACACTTTTTCAATTATTCTACACGCGATCTTGTTCTACGAGCCACACAATCCTCCAATTCCAATTCCGAATCACTTGAACTATTCTCTAGCTCTTCTTCTTCAATCTCTTCTTCTGATTCTTCAATTGGGCGTTTGCGTGGCCGTCCTCGTGGCTTTTTCTCCTTCGGTTTTTCCTCCGCCTCACGTACCATTTTCAATACTTCCTTAGTACTAAAGACAAATTGACCTTGTAATTTGACTCTTTTGCCTTTAGTTCTTTTCTTTCGAGTCTCAATTACCTCCTGAGCATCAGAGAGCTGTTTCCGAAGTAGGGCTATCTCAGCATTTTGAGATTCTACAAGCCTAGTCATTCTCTTGGCATATCGACGAGTTGGCGATGCAGGAGAACCACTGCTTGCTAGAGCTGTATTAAAGATCTGATTTGCTTGCCTTAGTTCTGTTCCATCTGGAGGAGAACTCCTGAGTATAGACAAGTCTAGGTCTTGATTGGGGGTTCTCATTTGTGGAGTAGAAGGTTGCTGGGAGGAGTTAAATGGTAATGAATCGAGTACTTTTCGTGGGGCAAAAGGTACTAAACCAGCTCCTCTCCAGCCAGCTTTAATATTAGAAGAATTCAATGCTTTTTTTCTAATATTTTGAAAGAGTTCTACCCATTCAGCTCTTTGGATTCGCTTTACACCAGCTCGAGAATATCGATCGACCTCTAAAGCATGATATCGTTTCATTGGCCCATACACCGCAATATCAAGTGGCTGAAGCAAGTGAGAGCAATGAGGAGGTAATATAAGTAAATCAATATCATTATCTATACAGAAAGCAATAAAGCTACCTGTAATATGGCTTGAATGGCCATCCATGATCAAAAGTCGAGGTCGGTCACCTGACACTTTCTTGGATTCTGGTTCGAAAACCCTTTTTAACCATTCTAATCCATGGCTATTTGAGGTCCATCCATTTGTACTAGTAGAGAACTGCCAGCTTTGAGGTGTGTCCTTTGGAATCCATGCAGAATTCGTATTCTGAGCCTTGAAAATGACCATAGGTGATAGAGCATTTCCAGCTGCATTGACACATTCAAATGCAGTTATCCATTCTTGCTTGCCAGCTGTAACTTTCCAATTCGATTTCTGAGTAGAATCGACTATAATGCGCGTACTTTGAGTACTTCCAACTCCAAATCCGGTTTCATCCATATTATACATATCATCTAATTCATACTTTCGCTCAATGAGACGCGTGCGAAACGCGTCAAACCAAGCCTGAATATTCTCCGGAGTTGCTTCTTTAGCCCGATTAGACTCTAATTGACGTGAATAGCATGTTTTAAGTTCTGGATGTCGTTTTTGGAATCTATAGATCCATTCGTGGCCTATAGGTGGAATTTCTGTCGAGGTAGGATTTCGAGATGACGCGACCCGAACGCGTCGAAGACGAATTTCGTCGGCCATTTCCTTCACCAACATAGGTGTAGCAGGGAATCCAGTGATGGTAAGTCGTGAAATCCATCGTACAAGAGTATTTTCTTCTGCGTTTGAAAGAATTTGAGCCATTTCGTGGGTTTGGGAACGTGTTTTCTTCCCAGCCAGCCTATCAGCTAGGGTAGACTTAGGGACTTCAAAATGCTCTGCAGCCTTTCTAATTGATTTAAATTCTTTCAATTGAAGTGAAATTATAGCCTTTTGAAGCTTCTCTTCAATTTGAGCAGATGTAGAAGGTGATTGGGTATGCATAATAAAAGTTATTGCGGTTTCAAGTTGGTGATGGGCTAAAAGTGTCCGAGTTCCCCATATGTCCGAGTTCCCCATACGTTACGTTATTTATAAAAAAATAGATTTTTGAAATGTTTAAAAAAATAGGTTTTATGATTAAAAATTTTCAAGTTTTCTATTTATAAATAAAGAAAGTGTATAATTACATATAGATGAATTTTATATATAAAATGAAATAACTCATATAATAATATAATCTATATACTAATGAACCACGTTAGGATATAATCTTACAATAAATTACGCGGTATTAATATGGAAACTGTAAGGTACATTCGTTCAATGATGTAATCTTACTATACATATGTATAAGTTATGCCTCCATACATATATATATTACATACATACCTAGTAGCCATTGTACAACCTGATCCGAACTTACCTGACCTGATCTGACCCGACCTTACCAAACTATATATACCTACCTACCTAGTAGATGCAGCATCATCCATATCAACCCCAACCCCAATACCAAATAAACCCAATCTCAAATCGGAGAATTACCTCCGCAGAGTTAGCGGGTGTGTGTATGTGTGTGAATGAGTGTGTGA